GAAGAGATGCTGTTTCGGGCAACTGGTTTGGTACAGAACCAAGACTCCTGGCAAGCGCACTCTCGATCCGAACATGGCGCCAGCGCTCTTTTTGGGTTGGAGGGTCGATCCGGGGTTGCGGTACCGAAATGTGGTCAAAGTCATGGACTATGAAGCCTTTCGTAAAGACGGTTCCATTTCTGTTCATGATGTCCCTGAACCGGAGTTGTTCGTTGAGGACGGACCGACAAGCTTCCCGATCGCAGCAGCAGCAGATAGAGCATTGCATGGTGGCAAGACAGACGGGTCAGATCCCCCAACTCTGCCCCTGCGAGAGGCGCCATTTGGGGCCCCACCGACTCCATCCGCTGTCAAGTCAAAATCCGTGTACATAACTGTTGAGAGGATCATCAAGTTCAAGGAAACGCCAGGTTGCCGTGCATGCACCGGTCATTCCAAGATTCACAGTGCCGAATGCAAGAAGAGGTTCTCCGAACTTGTTTCTGCAGATCGAGCTGAAGCAGCTGCAAAAAGCGCTGCCAAAACTGAATCTAAGGAACCCATTCCCATTGTTCATACCGAAGGGGATGAGGAGCTAGCCAGAGCAATCCACGCAGCCGAGCATGAGGAGGATCCTAAAATCGCAGTTAGTGCAGAAGACGTTGCGCATGAGTTTGATGCAGCGGAAGCTGGGGAGCCCACTCCCTCAAGACCCGGCCGCTACATCGCAAGGTGAAGATTTTTGGGTGTTCAAAGAAAATGCCAACTGTTTGGTTCGATACCATATCATGCCAAGGCAGAATCTTTTTACCCCAAAAGAGGTCGAGGATTGCCCCGTTTCTCCAGAAAGATTTACTGCAGCTCGCACCACTCGTGCCGTGTTTCAGGGGGGCAAAGCAGACAACATTCACGATGGTTGGTTTGGTAGCAGACCTAATCGCTCACTTGGAGATCCATGGACCGGATTCACAGTGTTCAAGTTAAAACCCATTCAGTCCGATTGCGTGATCACCACAGGTGCAGCCGTGATGTTAGACTCCGTGCCGCCGACACCTCTCACCGAAGCGTCAAAGAACGGTCGTCCAGATACATTGCCAATTTTTGGCATGCCATGCAGTGCAGAGGTTGAAGCTCCGCAGCCCAAGCAGTTTGAGGTAGGAAATCATCGTGCCCGCAAGCGACAGGCACGCATTGACAAGTTGCCTGTGATGTTCGAATACGCATGTTCACCAGAGTCCAATATGGGTCGCGTGTTTGAAGGTCTTGGCATACCTCATGTTAGGCTGGCTAAAGAGTTTATCGACCTTAGCACAGATGAAGGAGAAATCCAGTTGCAGTCGCAGATAGAAGGTTGTGATAAACCCAATATTTGGGCTGCAATCCCCTGCACATCAGGTTCAGCATGGCAACGCCTTAATAAGGCCAAGTTAGGAAGCCAGTTCAAAAAGAAACTGAAGCAAAAGGCTAGAGAGTCGAGAGAGTTGTTCTCCAGATTCAGACGTCACGCAGAGACTGTCCTCCATCAGGGGGGTAGTGTTTCGTTTGAGTGGCCAAGGGATTGCGACAGCTGGGCTAGGGATGATGTTTCTGCATTCTTTAGGGAATACGCACAGGTCTTCACCCAAGCGACCTTCCACGGTTGCGCCCTAGGTCTGAAGGACAGCAATGGTTACCCCATCAAAAAGCAATGGAAAGTCATGACCAGCAATAGCACACTCGCATCCGCGCTAGGTGCATTCAAGTGTCCGCACGAAAAAGGGTATAAACATTCGCTTGCAGCAGGTAACAAGACCGCAAAGACCGCTTTCTACCCCGAAGGCATGTGTCTCACAGTTGCCCGTGCGCTGTATCCGACAGTTCAGCCCGTAGTGCCTGCGATGCCTGTCCAAGTGCCATTGCCTCTCGATCACCGGGAACGTGAGCAGCAGCTAAAACACATATCCCCTCTCTCCGGTTTGGAAGACATAGGTGTTGCTGTTGAGTCCGATGAAAAGTGTCACAACATTCTTGAACAAGTTCTTGATGTTGAAAATCTCATCGCACATTCCCTAGGACAAGTCAAAGAGAAAAAGGATCCTGAGATCACCGCAATGGTGACCAGACTCTTGTCACGTGCCGAAATGTTGGCTTCCCCGGAAGCCCTTGAAGCCGTTCGACTTGAAGCCACAGGCCTGGAGAAAGCCGGTGTTTGGGATCTAAATTCAGTCCGAGAGTATGATCAAGTCGCTGCTGAGGCGCGACGATCCAGTATAAAAGTCCATTTCGGGCAGTTGATGTCGCTAGCATCCGTCAAGTTCGCCGAACTCGCGAAACACCTTCAGAAGATGAAAGGTAGGATTGTGTATCGCGGAGACTGTGCGAAAGACGAACATGGCGCAGCAGCTGTCTACCAAGAGTTGGGAGCAAATCCCACGAGCGTACAAGGTCTTAATAACTGTCTCGCTTATGGATCCCTGCCAGGGAACTCCACCACAACAGCGGACGCTATAAAGGCTTATGTGCAAGCACTGCTGAAATCCAAGTACCAAACTTGGATCACACTCCCGCCTGAGCTCCGGCCAAGGTGGTGGCGCGAGCGTTTCGTGAAACCTGTGGTTTTGCTCGTTAAAGCTCTTTATGGGCATCCTGACGCTGGCGGACTCTGGGAGGCACACCTCAAAGGTTTCATTAGTGAACTTGGAGGGCGTGAGGTCGCAGAGTTTCCTGGAAACTTCTGGTTCAAGGAGTCCGGGTTACTTCTCTCGACATACGTCGACGACTTGACGTTGGCCGGCCCCAGCCACCTTCATAAAGACTTCTGGGAAAAGTTAACAAGACTGGTTGATATAGAACCCCCAGAAGACATATATCGGGTGCTAGGCAGGAATCACCTTTTGATAGATGCTCCAAAGGACCCAACTGAACCCGATCTTAATGCCGCAATGGGCAGATTGAAAGGGGGCATGGCGTTCGACATGCGGGATTATGCCCGTCAAACGGTTGCATTATATCTTGAGGTTGCACAGCTAAAAACTGAAAAGTTGCGTGATGCCACCACACCATTCTGTCCCGCTGGATCCCTTGATCCTGCAGATGACGCCTTGGAGGGTGAGCTAGGCTTCGCCGCTTGCCGCGTGTTAATGAAAGCCTTATGGCTCGGCCGTTTGGCACGCCCAGACCTGGTCAAGCCCATTGGCGACCTTGCCTCATTTGTTCAGAAATGGTCTAGGAACTGCGATAAGCAGCTACATAGGCTTGTCTGCTACATAAACAGCACGGTCAACAGCACGCTAGTTGGCACAGTTCAGGATTCGACTGATGAGTTGCATCTGTCTCTCTATGTGGACGCCGATTTCGCTGGAGAACGAGACGCAAAATCAACGTCCGGAGGATTCTTGACACTGAGTGGTCCGCATACGCATTTCCCCCTTGCGTGGGTGTCTAAAAGGCAGACCTCGGTCTCCCGATCGACAACCGAGGCGGAGATCGTATCTCTCGCGTACTCCCTTTACCAGGAGGAGCTTCCTGCGCTCAGCTTATGGGAGCTGATCTTGGACAGACCATTCCATCTCAAGATCCACGAGGACAACCAGGCGACTATCCTCGTAGCAAAGAAGGGTTTCTCATCCAAGCTACGCTGTGTCCAGCGCACCCACAAGGTGAACCTCGCGTGCATCGCAGAGCAGCTTGAAAGCGAACACATCTCGATAGAATACGCCCAAACCGACATGCAGTCAGCAGACATCTTCACGAAAGCACTTCCACCCAACAAGTGGGACCATGCCATCCGGTTGCTCGGCATTCGTGTTAACCTTCCAGAGAAGCTTGAAGACGTTCGGGAAAGTAGGTCCGCTAAAGCAGCTGCCTAGTGCGCTGCAGCATGTCTGCAAAATTTCCAAAAGTGTGCAAGTGACTGGGCGATGCTTGAATAACTTGCGCCAGTCGTTGTGATGTAAACTTGACTTCAAGTTGGCGTGGTAATGCGCCCAAGACACTCCCTCAGTGCCGTCAATGAGGGGGGAGTCAATTATCACGATGACATTTATGGCCCAGAGGTACAACAAGTTGCATGATGTACAAACATGATAAGGACCCAGATGACATGTCCGCATGTCATTTGGCTCAAGTGCTGAAAAGAGCGCGTTGCTCGCGCTGCCCACAAGATTAAGGGAGAGGTCGCAGTCACGGAGGGGTTCGTTCCTTTTAAGGTCCCGGGTTCCCCCGTTGTTGACAAAACTGTGTTTCCCTCTCCTTTGAGTAACAGTCAACAAATCAACTGATAGATGTCAACCGTTACCAGGTACCATCCTCGCCACACCATCTTTCACGCATTCTGAAAATCCACCACCAGCCATCTCTTTCTCCAATTTCTCGGATTATTTGCAAGAGATAAAGAGAAACGGGTAACATATTGTCCAAGCCTTTCCGTTCTTCACGTCATAGTGTCTTGGCTGAATGCCAGGGAGAATAGAGGCTTGTCTCTTCACCCCTTCACTTCCCATCTCCATGGAAGTGCGAGGTACGAGATGGAGGAAGAAGGTAGGTGAAGATGGCCATTCCATCCTTCCTATTCACCCATCCATGATATCGTGCAATGAAATGGAACGCGAGGAAAATAAAGATGGAAAGGGGAAAGACAATTTTATTTCTACAGCATATTCTGGACGGTCTTTCCTGGCCATTGTTTTTCACATCTCTTTAACTCCTTCCACCGTTTGCTCGCTAAGACATGAATCCTGGAAGCGAGAGATAAAGAGATGAACCATGAATGTCTTCGTCACATTCCCTCTCCTCGCCACCAATGGTGAGCGGAGGGGAATGAAGGGAGGTGAAGAAATGGATCTCTGTTGGTCTGGCTCTCTTTCTCTCTCTCTCTCTCTCTATCACTCCATCTCTCAGCTAAGAGAAGCGATGCGTGAGAGAGGGCCCGAGGTGTCTCGAAGGCGAACCACGCGTTCACCAAGACAGGTTTACCAAACGGTTTTCCCCTTTGCCACCGCACAAAAACGGCGTATGGCCATACCACATCTGCCATATCCCAGGCAACATGGGCATCGAGAAGACAGACGGTTGCAGCAAGGTCTGTTGCACGTCGCTGCCTCAGCCAAACTGCCGCTTGAGCCAACGTAACTTGCGGAAGCCTCCATCCCATACTATCGGTTTGAAAGGTTTCGGAGTGTTGATAAGTGGGTGAGTTGAGGCATGGGAAAAGCGCAATCCAGGAACTGCAAGATCTACTTCTGCTGGCGCTGCGGCAAGACCATCACTGGCTACGACCACTTCGCCACCAGCGAGTGCCGCCTCTTCGACGATGAGGAGATTCGACGCTGGAACCAGCAGGCCGGCGGCCAGGCACTTGCTTTTCTGTGTGCGCAAGGGGGCAAGCTCTAAGGGCCGCCAAGGCATGGCATGACTGAACCGCACCACCAAAGAAGCACTGGGCGATTCCATTTGCTCCGAGCCTCTAGGCGCCTCTAGGCTGGTTCACAGTTCGGGGTTCAAAGTGACAGGTGCACCACATTGACAAGGCGCAGGCCAGGGCGCAGGAGGCGGGGATTGGGTCTTGCAGCTTCTGCTCCAAGGGCGCCGCTGGGAGAACTCACCTAAGGTTGGCATCTCGAAACAACTTGGTTTGCTTTTGGTGTGTCTCAAAGTCAGGAGGTTTGCTTTTGGTTTCTCTTTCAACCTGCAAAACCCAATGCACGCTTGTGTTTCCAGCATACATGTGCCCATGGGTCTGGAAAAGGGTTTTGGCACGTGGGCTTGCAGCTGCTTTAGTGAAGCAGCCTTTGCGAGTCCGGGTTGTTCTGGGGTCCTGGCGCTTAATCCCCGCCCCCACCCCCCCCCCCCCCGCGATTGTTGGGCCCTTGGAAGACACACAGGTCCCACTCAGAGTTTGCAAGGGATCCAAAAGGAATTCAAGCATTTTACTCCTTGCGAGGCTCGATTCCTCGCCCAGTTCATTGATCCAGCGCAGATGTGGCAGCAAGCGCGGGAATGCCGCAGCCCTGCTTGTGAAGGGAAGCCGGAGGATTGTCTTGCAGCATAAGCACGGGCTCTGACGTATGTTTCATCGTCCCCGTCGCATATTCAACGCATGCACATATTTGTTTTTTGAGATGTGCGCAAAAAGGCATGCAGGCATACATACATACATACATACATACATGCATACAGAAGCGCATACATAATGTTCACACATACATACACGCATGCATGCATGCATGCATGCATGTATACATGCATGCATACATACCCATGCCCCTGGTATACGTACATGTGTACGTACATGCATACAATCATACAGACAAACAAAGAAACAAACAAACAAGCAATTAACCAAGAACAAGCACACGCAACACACACCTCTACATGCATGCATGCATGCATTCATGTATGTGCGCCCCAGCCATGCCCATTCAGGTCTTTCACGTGGGCCCAGTGGGTCCTATTGGATCCTCCCCAGGCGGTTGTGCTTTCGCGGGCGTTTAAGGCCCCCGTTGCCGCGCAGCCGTGGTGCGTGATGGCAAGAACAACCACCTGCGTTGCTACGCCTGCATGACGCAGTTTTGCGCCTGGAGCCCCAGGGTCGACCCTGCACCCAAAAGTGTCAACATGAATCAGCTTGACAACCAAGCTGAGGCTGAGGGCGCAAAGAAACCAAGCCAGCAATCGCAGGGCCCAAATGACGGTCAATTGGGCAGAGTAGAGTTCGCAAGCTCCATCAAGTTGCGGTTTGCGTTCTTGCCTGAGCATTCAGGTTTACGGGCTCATTTATACTCTGCAGGTGCCACAGGTCAGGGGAGAAGTTTTGATTGCGACCAAGCTGGGCGTTTCCATGCGCACGGGGTAGCCTTAGCGGCGTTTGGCGGCCAAGGCAAAGTGCTTTCAGATCCTGCAGAAAGGAAAGGCTGGCGAGCACTTCAACAAGCTCGGGAGCTGCCCGCAGCATTCGGACTAATGATTAGCATCCCCGGGCCGGGTGATCCCCGCCCTGAAGATGCCTGAAGTCAAGGCTGCGAGCCGAAGCCGCCGGCTACGTGATGATAGATGGCCATGTCACACAGATTGGTCTTGCCACGCACTTTCATAGTTTCATGCCGTGAACAAAGGTACAAACTGCGGCTTAAAAGAGATCAGAACCGGGCGCCGTGCCATTGGCAATTTGCCCAGCTTTTCCGCTGACAAAGCGTTTTCCGCTTCATGCGCCCCAAGGCCCGCTGAGTTCCCTTGGCTTCACCCACATTGGGCCATGCCTTGGAGCTTCGAGTGGGCTAGTTCAGGCCCAGGCCCAGTGAGTCGGAATGTACAGATGCGAATGTACAGCGGAGAAAGGTCTTGAGCCATCCGAGATGTTCCAAGCGGCAAGGCAAGGAAGGTGTTGACCGCAGTTGATTCAGGAGTCTAAACGAAAGGCAAAAGCCAAGTGCCGGCTGATTTGTTGCGGCCGTCTCAGCTTGGATCAAAGGGCAGGCCAAAGGGGAAGCCTGAGACCATGGAGGCTGAGAGCCGCCAGTGCCTCAGGCGGAAGGCGCACCCAGAGACAGCGATTGTTGTGCAATGGAGCGTGCTGCTGAAGGAACGATTTGGCAACCTTAATGATAATTTGAATGCCTGTCAAAAGTGGTTGGTGGACATAAACTCCTTTGTAAATGATGTCCACCAGAGTCCAAGTTCAAAATCATATTGATGCTTAGTTGCCCATTGGTATGAAGGCGGATGTGGGTCATTTTGCCCCAAAAGATCCTCACAAGTGGACTTGCGACGGGCAACTGTGGGGGGGGGGGGGAGTGTTTGGCAGCGATGCCAGCGAGCATCACTTCCTTGCCTTGTTCCCAGGAGCTTGCCCAGGCCAGACCCTGTCTTTTTTGAGGGTACTGTTTAGTGTGCCATTGCCAAGGGAAACCCAGCATTTTGATGGTTCCCTCAAACTAAAGGACAAGCCCATCCGAAGCACGTCTCAGCTAAGGACTGCAGCATTTGCTGCAGCGACTGGACCAGGACTGGTGAGCCTTGGGCCCCGGCACACCCAATTAGCTTGTATCTTCCGGCTTCCAGCAAGTACTTAGCTGAATGATGGTGGCGGGAACTGTGGGTTGATATTGGCCTTCGTTGTGCCTGGCAGGAGCGGTTCTGGAGCTTGCACGACCTCAACAAGGTTGCGGAGGAGTCTGTCGTGTTGGGATGGCTGTATCGACTCTGGTTTCATTGGCCTGGTCCAAGCTTCCGTTTCAGCTGGGCTGATCTGGGCTGCTTGGAGCCTTCATGTGCGTCCAGGAATTGGAAACGCTGGACTGGTCGACCACAGGCGTGCCGTTTGAAACGTGTCGCGGTTGCAAACTGACCCTGCTGTGCGAGAACCCTTTTGGCTTTCCAATTTTGCTCGGTTCTTTCTTCACCTTTTGTCTCCAGGTACTTCAGGCAAGTGAGTTGACGTTGCGCCAAGTCGTGTGAAATGTGGCAGCGCCGGAGAACTTAGCCGTTGACACCGCATTTGAAAGCAGAGATCTATGCCCAAGCCACGCACGCCAAAGCCAATGTGCTGGCACTTGTGGGGTGAATTGACCCTTGGCATTCGGCATGCTGACGAGGCGTGACAGAGGAGAGCCTCTGGACCCGCCTTGGCCGGCACTTGGTGAAGTTCCAAGATGGCTGGGGCCCTTCAACACCAAGATCAGTCAGAGACAGTCGCTCATGGCATGCCAGAATGTTTAGCGCCGGACCGTGGTTGTGAAGACTCCCTGCAAAACAGCTTTCCAGATACGCCTCAAGTGGACGATTCCTGCTCCATTGTGCTGCGGGCTTTGGGGTCTCGTTTTGCTTGCTGTGTGTGTGTGTGTGTGCTGGAGGATTTGAGGTCGTGCACGCCGGCGGGTGACATGTTGGTTCAGCATTCGGGGCCAGATTTGTACCTTAGGGCCTCGAGAAATATTTGGATGACTTCCTCTCGAAATCCTGAGATGGTGTTGGTATGGACGGGTGGGTTTGTAATGTTTGCTTTGCCTGAGGGGTTCCTTTTCCAGCTTGCCAAACAAGCACCTTGACACGAATTGGCCTTTGGACGGCAGCACTTTAGCCTGTCGCGTGCAATGGAATCAAGCAAGCATGTGACACGCCATTACTTGGACACTTCAACACTCGACCTGGCCATCTTTGTTCTGCATTTCTTTCATCGTACGGAGGGAGATTCCCCTGTATCATCCCGGTCGTGCGGGCCTTGAACATTGCGTTTTTTGGTATCGACTGCCTCGGTCCGCCCTCCAAGGCCAGCCAGTGCCTCAAAGCAAGGGAGTGATCGGGCGGTCGGGCTGCCGGGCTGCCGTGCATGCGCTATGGACGCTTCTGTTTTGAGCGCGTCCGTTGAAAGCCTGGACGTGTACCGCTGCTGAACCACCCAGTATGAGTCTGGGGGTCATGCTTCTTTGGACATGCCTTGCTTTCAGGTTCCCAATCCTGCCAGAACTGGGGTGCTCATCAGGAAGCATTGGTTTGTTTCTTCAGTCAGTGTCTTTCTGATGAATCCCTGCCGGGACTTCACGCCACGAGCTCCCAAGAGCCAGAGGGGGTATTGTGTCCATTTCGATCGCTTGTTGTCCAACTGATCTGATCCAGGGAAGCCCTTTTTGAACACAGGGGGCTTTATTTGGTGTTGCCTTGCAGGAACGCCTCCAGTAGCTTGGAAAAAAGTGTGCCTCCATGGATCTTCCCTCAGGCTCAAGGAAGGCAAAGCAACTCTTTGCAGGGTTTCCTTGGCGACGACCTGCTGCCGCCATAGGCCTTTAGGTCCGAGTCTGTGTCGGAGCACCGGAACATGTGCTTCTAGTTTGTAGCAGTGTATGCCTCAATGAATGTGAACTTTACCCAGTTTGATGGTTGCAACCGAGGGACAATCAGTTTGGTTTGCATTTTGATTCCTGGCACCTAAACTAGCGCTGCATCCCAGATTGTCATCAACCATGGTGCAGGCTAGGTGCTTGATGGTGGCTTTAATTGCCACCCTTTCGGTTGCCTACGTAGCTATTGATTTGGTTGTTTCCCTTGCCAGGGTGGCCTCCCACTAGTCAATAACATGGAGCCTTTCAGAAGGAACATGATCTTCTGAGCACTGATCAGGTTGTTAATGTTTACCTTTGCATGAAGAGCACTCCGATGAGTTTATTGGGATGAATCCAAAGTTGTCATTGCTCCTTTGCAGATTGTGATTCCACAAACCCGCAGTTTTTCAGGTACCACCCTTTTGGGTTTCTTGTTGGTTCCCACCCCGAGGCAGCAGCGCATTGTGGCAGCCACCACCCCGCTGCGCCCGGGGTCCTTCAGCCAATTCCGTACCCAGACCCGGTCTTTTCGCAGGGTTCATTTTTGTTGAAATGATTGTAAACTAAATGGAAACTAAACGCAAACCACCCATTTTAGGGTTGTGCTGGTTCCAACTTTTGTTTTTGATCTTGAGCCCTGCTGCGCTGGATGCGCTGGATGAACAGTCTGAGATGGATGCCGTTTGTATAGTGGCATGTATAAGCGCTTGAACCTAATCAGCCCACAGCTGGCCAGTAGCTGATTTCTACTCGGTTAGGTGAAGGAGAAGCAGTTGATGCATGAGTTGCTTGAGCACACCCAGCCTATCCAGCAAGTGCGTTGTAACATGGTGTAACCTTGTTTGTGCCATTGTGAGCCCTCCATGGCCAGAACCCCGCTGGCATTCTACTTCAATGCTTTGCGAACAGCATGTGTGACTTGCTTCATTTGCGCTCAATGGCAGTCCTGCGTTATCAGGGGCTCAGGCTAGCAAGGACACTCAGATGTTGACGCCGGCTGTGCTTGTTTTCAGACCCGGGTGATTGCTGCTTTAGCGGCTTCCCTGCCCTTCTTTTATCATTTTGCTGTCACCTTTCTCGAGGCCAGGATGTGGCTAGGCGAGTGGGTCATCTCACCGAGAGCCTGAACCATTGCGTCAGCTTTGATCCGGCCTCAGCTCCTCGGGGCTGGGAACCAGGTGAAGAAGGCCTGTTGACGTGGACGGTTAATTGGATGGCTTTGTGCAGTGTGGAAAGCAAGCTCCGGCACATGAGCCACGCAAAAGCCTCTGACTCTAGTCTTTGGAGCGCCTCAATTTCCTGAGGCGGGCCGAGATGTGCTCTGCGAGGCGTGCAGGGCGGGTTCTTCGGCCGGGCGTGCAAATGATTTGTAGTTGTCCCGCACGGACGGAGGGGTCCAGACAAATCGTGCCTATTGTTGATTGCACATTGCCTGACAAATGTCAAAGTCAGCCAACCCAGCTTGCACACACCGAAAGGAGTGCATCCCTCATTCTGAAACAGGTCGATCTCCTCGCTTGCTTGCGTCGGTCTCTGTGGAGGTCAAGGAAGTGGCGCTTCCGAAAAGGTTTAGCTGCATTAGGGCGAAAGAAAAGTCGCATGCCACTGAGACCACATCTCCAACTGGTGCCTGGTGTTTATTTGCGTTTGCTTTTTTGGAGGCTTCAGCGCTGGAACCAACACTGGATCGACAGAATGCCCTGCTTTAGCCCTTGCAGACACTTCCGCAGCAGCTGCTGTCGAATTTCCGGGCGGGGGCGCCCGGCGAAGCAGCGCACAGCCTTGGGCCAGGGCACTGCTGGCTGGTGGTTGCGTCAGACCTTTAAGCTTGAAATTTTGCCATGCATTGAATGTGTCTCTGTGTCTCTGTGTCTCTGTGTCTCTGTGTCTCTGTGTCTCTGTGTCTCTGTGTCTCTGTGTCTCTGTGTCTCTGTGTCTGAGTCTCTGCGCTTGTGTCTCTGTGTGTGTGCGCGTCTCTCTCGCTCTCTCTCTCTCTCTCTCTCTCTCTTTCTCTCAGGTCTCTCTGTTTGTTTGCCTGTCTGCCTGCCTGTCTGTGTTTGTGTCTGTCCGCCTCTCTGTGTCTCTGCGTCTCTGTCTCTCTGTCTCTCTGTTTGTCTGTCTGTCGATTTTTTTTTCTCTCTCTCTCTCTCTCTCGCTGTCTGGCAGTTTGTCTGTCTCTCTGTCTCTGCGTCTGTCTGTCTGTCTGTCTGTCTGTCTGTCTGTCTGTCTGTCTGTCTGTCTGTCTGTCTGTCTGTCTGTCTGTCTGTCTGTCTGTCTGTCTGTCTGTCTGTCTGTCTGTCTGTCTGTCTGTCTGTCTGTCTGTCTGTCTGTCTGTCTGTCTGTCTGTCTGTCTGTCTGTCTGTCTGTCTGTCTGTCTGTCTGTCTGTCTGTCTGTCTGTCTGTCTGTCTGTCTGTCTGTCTGTCTGTCTGTCTGTCTGTCTGTCTGTCTGTCTGTCTGTCTGTCTCTCTGTCTCTCTGTCTCTCTGTCTCTCTGTCTCTCTGTCTCTCTGTCTCTCTGTCTCTCTGTCTCTCTGTCTCTCTGTCTCTCTGTCTCTCTGTCTCTCTGTCTCTCTGTCTCTCTGTCTCTCTGTCTCTCTGTCTCTCTGTCTCTCTGTCTCTCTGTCTCTCTGTCTCTCTGTCTCTCTGTCTCTCTGTCTCTCTGTCTCTCTGTCTCTCTGTCTCTCTGTCTCTCTGTCTCTCTGTCTCTCTGTCTCTCTGTCTCTCTGTCTCTCTGTCTGTCTGCTTCTCTGTCTCCGTGTTGGTCTGCTTCTCTGTCTCTGTGTCTGTTTGCCTGTCTGTCTGTTTGTCTGCCCCTTCCGTCCGTCTGTCTCCCTCTCTCTCTCTCTGTCTATGTCTTTGCTATGTCTCTGTCTGTCTTTGCCTGTCTCTCTCTCTCTCTCTCTCTACTGTAAAACTCAGATGTGCATACACCTGTGAAGCGGCGGCAGCTGTAGGTCTTTTGTCTAGAGGCTTCTGCACCTGAACCTGTAAATGGCCCAAGGCCTGTGCACAAGGTCATGTACACATCCAAGTGAGGCGACTGTATTCAACAGCCTCCCTCGGATTGCACACTCCGAAAGATTTCACCCTATGTGTACAAGTTTCTAGTGATCCGAGATGATGTAAGCCAATCTGTCTCACGCAGGAAGGCTATACATCGATGTCTCTAGCGGGCGGACAAATGTACTCAGCACAAACTGCTGTTGTATTTGCAGCAAACCGATGCCCAGTTGTACTGCACGCCTGTTCGATTAGCAGTTGCGCAGGATGTCAAAACTGTGCCAAAGACCTTCAGGTCTTAGCGGCGTTGCTCGTTCTACCCGGTCTGTTTGCTGAAGGATCAGCTCTGTGTTGGTTGTGGCCAACTGAGCCTCCGCATATCCATCTTCTCCAGGAGACAGTGCGTTCGGTGCGCCGGACATCTGCACCTGGTTGTCAACCAGGTACTGGGTCAAGCGCTGAAGCCTGCGTGGCGTCCATCCTGTGGATCGGAGATCTGCAGGATGTGCTCAATGTTGATAACGATGCGCTGCAGAACCAGGTGTCTAGAAGCGATGTTGTACCGTGAGTACAAAGTTCTCAGGTGTCCGGTCACTCCGCAACTCTGTCTCGGTGAGCATGTACGTGTGTCCGCGTCGGACCTGGAGCATTTGCCCACTGTGCCTTCTATTGAACACCTTCAGGCACTTGGTCTAAGTACAGTGGAAAAGTTCCCCTATGTGCAGCTGTATCTTCAAGAGAAAACACTGTCCCATGTGCCGCGTGGTGTCATGTCCCTGATGCACAAGCCAGCTCAAGTAACCAATCGCATCAATAATGCTGCACAAGAGTGCCAGAATGTTGAACGAAGGTTCCCTCAAATAGCCCGGAAGCCTGTCAATGTAGTCAGGGATGCTTGTGGCTTCCGTCGTCAGCCATGTGACCTGTTCGGTCGTCAGGGGCACTACCACCTGGGTGTATTTATTCATGGCATCGCTTGTGCCTTTGAGGTATCTGAGCAAGTGTTTGACTTTCTGGTTGTCGAGTTGTGTTAGTGCCTGTAAGGAACGTGCAAGTTCCTTTGCTGCAGAGCAAGTGTCTGGTCTGGTGCATGCTAGCCATCGTATCTTGCCGGCTGTCCTTCTGCACGCTTTGTGTTCCAGTTCCTGTGTGTTCAGAGGTTGCTTAGTGTTGGTGTCTGTCTTAAGTGCTGGTGAGCATGGTTTTGGTGCTGGGTTGCAGTTGCTGATGTTTGCTTTGGCCAGAATGTCATTGACGTACTTGTATTGCAGGCTGATGTCCACGCTGTTTCCGTTGTGTGCGATTTTCCTTCCGAGAGGAAACTGTTGTACTGGTTGTAGTTCACCTGTGGGTCGTAGAAGAACCTCCTTCTCGATCTGTTCGAAGATCTTGTCGATGATGTGTTCTTCTCCAAGTAGAAGTAGGTCGTTGACGTAGGTCATGATGTAGGCTGTCCCTTCCTTGTTCCTGTAGACGTTGGAGTCTGTTTTGTGTCGTGTTAGTCCAAGATTTGTGAGGGCTGCTATGTGATCTTGCCACTGTTTGGGACTGGACCTAAGGCGACACATTGCTTTGTTGAGCCGCCAAACAATGTGCTTGTTGCTTTCATCGTGAAATTCTTGTGGTGGTCTGTGGTCTCATGTGGATGTCCGTTGTTGCTGCTAGGGCATGTAGGAATGCCACGCTGACATCACCTGTGCACTTTCCAGCCTTTTGCTAGCGCTGTTGTGAGAAGTGTGCGAAGGATGCTTACAGTGTGTCTGTGTCTGTTATGTTCTCTGTGTAGCCTTTTGCCACCGTGCGTGCTCTTACTTCATCTCCTTTTTGTTTCAGCACTTACCTTGACTCCACAATGTTCCGTTGTTGTTCTGGTGTGAGTGTCCGACTGTCGACCTCCGTGAAGAAAGACATTGTGGTCCTTCATCTGGTTGATTTCTTTCTTCATGCCTTCTGCCACCTGTTGTTGGTCTAGGTCCTCTGTTTTGGACTGGCTCTAGCAGTATTCTTTCGTTTTCTGCTTCCTGTGTGACCTCGCATGATGTTGCTTCTATTGTTTGTCCTGCTTTGTTGTTTACTGTGATGGCTCCAATCCTGATTTTCGTCTTTGGTTGTTCTGTTTGCTCTGGCCTTTCCTTCTGCTGTTGCGCTGTGTTTTCTGTTCTTGCTTGTGCTTCCTTCTGCTGTTTCATCCCTGCGTGTTCGTGTTGGTGGTGGTAGGGGTGGTCGTCTTGATGTCGTCGGTGAAGTCGCCATTGGTGATGTAGGTCCAGCGTCTCCAGGAAGAAGTCGTTGTTGTTTTGTTGGTGATCCATCCTGCTGCTGTGTTCGCTTATGCTCGTTTGCTGTGCTTGTTCCTGCATCTTGTGTGCAGGTGCGTGATGTGTTTGTTCCTGTTTCTCTTGTTGGTCGCGCTACTCGTGCTGCGATCGGTGCTGTCGGTGGTGGTGTGTGCCACGGTCCTGCGTTGACTACATCCATCAGCTGCTGGTTGTGCTTGTGTAGTGCTATTGTTCTTCTGACTGTCCTTGCTCGTATGACTCTGTTGCTGATTCGAAGGATGTGTTCCCCTGTGCTCTCATCTCGACCCAACCAGATGCCGTCGAAGAAGCGCTGTTCCAGTTTTAGGTATTGTTTGAGCGTCGGAACCATGTGCTGCACTGTCTCTCCAAACTCGCAGAGTGGAGTTGTTGGGTTCTTTTGCCACCTGTTGAAGTAGCTTGTGTGTCCGCCGCTGTGTATGGCATATCTGTTGAGGATGTAGGCGCTGCGCCTTACAATCCATGCCACAAGTGGGTGTTGCAAGTTGATCCTTCTGTTGTAGTTCTTTTGGATTTGTGCTCTCAGCGTCCTGATTTGTCCAAACAGTGTGCGGTGTGCTCTTTCGACGCTTCCTTGCGATTGTGAGCTGCACATTGGCGAGAACCTCACTTGCATGTGTCCTACTCAGTGCTGTTGTTTTGACCTTGCGCTTGTGGTGTTGTCTTTATTGTCAGTCTCATCTTCGGGTTGTAACGCATGACATGTGGGTTGCTGCCACTGCCTGTCTTCCTGTTGTGGTTGTTGACCGTGCCGCTGTTTGCTGTTGCTTAGCCGCCATTTGTTGTTGCTGCGTCGCCGGCTGCTGGTGCTGTTTCTTGATCCTGAAGACTGTGTCGCCTTGTCAGGAATGTGGGGGTGTTCTGTGTTGTTGCTTGCTGTCTAGTGTCTGATGCTGTTCTTCAATGACGTATGTTGCGCCATCTTGCTTCTTTACTAGTTTGTCGAGTGACACTGGACATTCTGTTCGTTCGGTGTGAACAGTGCTTTCCTGTGCACTCTGTGTACTCGCGCGAGTTCTCCGTTGTTGTTGTATTGCCAGAGGTCACTTGTGCTTGCTCTGACAATGTCTGCTCCCACTGGCGTCAGAGTTGTTGGTGCAATCGTTGTGATTGGTGCTATTGTTGCGATTTGTCTTCGCGGTGTCTCTGACTTGTTGCTCCATGTTGTCCGCCATGGTGCTGATGTGCATGTGTTCTGCTGTACCAGGTTGCTGTTAAAGCCTTTGCTGTGCTGCAGGTTCGGTTGCTCGTCAAGTCTGATTTTGAACCCTTGTTGATCCAACCTTGTGACCGAAAGGATTGGTTGTTTGGCATCGCAAACGTAAAAGGGTATCACTATGTGTTGTCCTGCGTCGTTTTGCACGCAGATCCATTTGTACCCATGTACTTTGATTGGTTGGTTTGTGACTGTTCTGAGTTGTGGTCCTGTGTCCTCTTGTATCTGTTGCAGCGGGTAGTCTGTTGGAAACCATGTTGGGCAAACAGGTGTTGCTGCTCCACTATCTATCATGAGTTGCACTGCTTTGTTGTCCCTGTTGCTTGTGTCTGTTGCTTGTATTGCTCCAATGAGCATGTCGTCTATGCCTGAGACGACCAGTGGTGTGGTGTTGGTTGGCGCCGCTGGTAGAGCCAACTGTGGTGCTTGGTTGTACGGTGTCTGGTCCTGGTTGTGCCAGGTGTTGTCGTAAGTGTCCGGTGTGTTGCACTACTGGAAAGAGGGGTCTGTGTTGTTGTAGTCTCCATCCGTGTTCAAGTTGTAGACCGGAACTTGGCAGTTCTTGGCGAAGTGTCCTGGCTGTCCACATCTGTAGCAGATGTTCATTGCTGTTTTTCCTTTTGTTCCCTTGTTGTATCCTTTCCGTTTTTCTTTCCTTTGCCTTCCTTTTCCTCCTCTGTACGGGTTTCCTTGTCCTATGGGACCCTGCTGTCCTTTGCCTTTGTTGTAACCTGTGTTGAAGTTGGTGTTGTTGCCTTTGTTGCCATAGCCGCCGTAGCCGCCGTACTTTCCTTTGTTGCGTTTGCCTTTGTGCTTGCCTTTTCCTTTTCCTTTGTTGTTCTTGCCGCCTTTGTGCCATGCGCCGCCGATGTCTAGTCGTGCAACTGCTGTTGACGCCCTGTGGTATTCCAATATCAGTGGTCTGATCTGTGCGTACGTTTGTGATTGAGCCTGCCTGTAGCTGTAGGCGTTGCCGCAGTGGTCCTTTTGTCTCGTTGGGCAGTATGGCTATTCTGACATTGTCCGGCAGTGTTGTGTTGTTGTCCCTTTCGTACCGTGTGGCCTCAAACTCCCACGTGGTGTAGCTTCGTGTACCTATGGGTATCGAGAACCGGATGTGGAGTTGTCTCCAGATCTCGAAGCCAGTGTTTGACATGTTGTCTGCAGATTGTTGCTGCCGTGTCGTCGCAAGTGTTAACGAGGATGTAGATGAGATCGCTCCCAAGTTGCTTCCAGTGTTCTGCTGTGGCTGTGTCTGGTGCTGCTGTTTCGAGGTCATCGTTATCCAGTGTGTGTGTGTGTGTGTTGTTGTCTCAGCTCCTGAGAGTAGCTGTGGGTATGCTTGGTCTTGTAACCCAAGGTATGCTGTCATCTTGTGCTTCCACTCCTCGAAGGCCTCGTACGTGCCATTGAAACGTGGTGGTGGTATCTTGTATCTATGCACTTGTGTGACTGCTACTTGTGCTGTGGATGCTTGTGCCATGCCGTGTTACTTGCTGCTGCACACCTAAACCTGTGAGTGCGTGTTGGAGCTCACCCTGGGTAGTGTGTGGGTCGTGTACCAGGGATCACTGCTCCGCATGTAAAACGGCGGCAGCTGTAGGTCTTGTGTCTAGAGGCTGCTGTACCTGACTGTAAATGGCTCAAGGCCTGTGCACAAGGTCATGTACACATCCAAGTGAAGCGACTGTATTCAACATCTATGTCTCTTTCGTTGCAAGGGCAACATGTTAAGCTCCTCGTATTAGGGGTGTGTGACGCGCGGCCTGTTGAAGAAGCCGGCCATGAAAAAGGAAGAGGCCGCACGTTTGCCCAAAAGCCCTAGTAGGTCTTCTCCCCAGTTTGAAGATACTTTGCATGAATCTCCGCAACCACCTCGGCAGGAGTCGCCCTGCCACTCACCGTTTGGCATTTGACTCGGGAATGTAAAACATGGACAGCTGCAGATGCACGTGTGGCTTGTTTTGATTGCCACCGCTCAGGCAATTGATTCTGCGCCGCAGCTTCTGTACTTTAGGCGTCTGGCCGTTGGGTTTGCAGCCCGCGGCTCTTGGATATTTCCTTGACCTGTTTCAGGGGAGCAATGTTTGTTCTGCTTTCTTTATGTTTTCCTATACTTTCCTTTCAAGCGGTGCTGTGTCTGAAGAAGCATGGAAATCAAATGCACGCACGCACGCATGCCGCGCTTTGCCGTGCCAGGCTTTGCTGCGACTTAGATGCAAAGACGCGGTTCCTGGTGGCCCTAGCCGGCGCAATTCGCGCAGTGCAGGCACGTCCAGTGAAAGCGCCACGGACATTGCATTGTGTTGTGGCCCCTGGTGTTTTTTGCCTCCGCCCCTGCAAAACCATGTCCAAAAGGCCCCATGTAACCTGTTGTTTTATGACCTCCGCCCACCCACCGTCTTTGGGCGTTGTCAGGACCCAGCGCTGCTGCGACCGCAGATGGCTGCGCAGCCCCACGTGCTAATCCTTGCAGAGAGCATTGCTGGCCAGCTGGGGGGGGGCCTTGCTGTTCTCCTGCCGAGCATGAATGAATTGCAAGAATGGGTCTGATTCTGACCTGCTGAGACCAATTCGTGTCATAGTGATTCCTTTCAAGGGAGAGTTTTTCTGGCTGAGGTGTTGGCGTTTTTTCTGCGTGTTTTTAATCCCTCATGTGGCTTCATGCCTCCCATTGAAGTATCGATGGGATGTATCGCGTGGCACTGTAGCCGGAGGTGCCTTCTTCACCATCGGCGGTGACAATGTGCCCATCATTTGTTGGCGCACATTGATCACATTGCGAGGATGACACTGTTGGAACATGCTGCCCCAATTTCTGCGGTCTTCATGGCGGAGACACTGTAGCGGGTTGTGTGCTCGGCCAGCCTGCATGATTGCTTGCGTTTTCCTCCATGTTGCAGCTCCCCGGTCTCTTCAGGTAACCTGTTGCCCTGTTAATGGCAGCAGCCTGGCATGGGCTATTCCGCATGCAGCAGGAAGCCACTTTGTTGTTTGATCACTCATGCTTTGCTGCTTTTTCAGAAAGACACTTGAAGAAGGGCGGGCCCAAGCCACGGCAGGTACTGAGGCGCTGGCACGACGCGCGGCTGGACGGGTACTGCGCCCTGTGGCAAGTGGCGGCCGAGTCCGCCCTGAAGCTCCACAAGCAGGAGCGCGTCGCATGCCAGCTGGATTCCTCCAGGTGGTTGGGTTTTCGGTTCCCCCTTTGGCAAGCAGAAGCAGCCAAAATGGCACTTCCCATTTTGAGACACAAAGTGAGAATCGCAGGCAGGTAAGCAGGGGCTGGGCAATGATTGAATAAGCGTAGAAACTGCCACGCAGGTTCCCCTTATGCGAACTATGTCCTGACCGGTTGCTCATGCCTTGCCGTAAGGAGCTCCAGGATCGCCTTGCTGAGGCGCTGGCACGGCCAGAGCCTTCATTTTTGGCTTGGCACCGGGCTACTGAAGTTTGGAAGCTGGTCATGGGTGGCCCGTGGGCTTGTCCGCATTGCCAAGGTGTCGATCAGATGGTCAGAGTCCGGCACTCGGCTTTCTTGGGATAGCATTTGGTACCTTCATGGGGCTGTGTGCCTGTTTTTGAAAAAAATCCTTCGCTGTTGACGGCTGTGCCCCTTTAATAATAGCAGGTGGTTCAGTCAGTGTGAAGCCCCATTGGACAAGCAAGCCGTTTGGAAGGTGGAGAAAGCCTTCTCCACTGAAGTTGCAACATCCAATGATTAGGCCATGCCTGAACTTGATCGGTCCCTGCGGGTTCTAGTGGACATGGGCTGGTCAGACATGACATGTGACGAATGAATGTACACTTCTGGGCTAATTGCCCCAGAGGGCAGGCCCTGTTTCGTCAAGCGCGCCCCACTGTCTGCGCTTTTCATCTCATGATTCTTTTGGAGTGCCACCCCATTCAAGCGGTTTTGTTGCACTTGCGCCGGCTCTTGAATGACTTCACGAGGGCTTTGAACCCTACCCTTTTTCCAGGTTCTTCGATGTTCATGTCATTTCTTTTTCTTATGACAGCCATGTTTGTTGTTAGCTTGATCCCTCCTTTCAGTTCAGCAGCCACAGAGTTGACGTTTGTCAGGGATCCACCAAACAAGGAATCCACATGCTAAAGGTGCACCACCTTTTTGGGCTGATAAACGCTACCCTGTTGATCTCTTGTTTCAGGCCAATAGACTGTATCACCTGTCCTTAGTTGTTGGTTTCGATTGGTGGTGTGGGAGTTTGTGCAGATTGGCCCTGAAAGCATGTGTAAACAGGCAAGAACCTCCGCGGACACGGGCTCAGGGCCCTTGAGTCAGTAGGAAAAGCTTTACTGCGCATCTCCGTGCGTTCATCAGTGGTAGCGGAGCCGCGGCGACGGCCGGGGCTCCAGCTGATCGTGATCTTTGGGCAGCCGGGACGCCCGACAACCCGAAGAGCATCGTTGGCGACGCCGACATCGGCGGGATCACTCAGCACCTTCTTGGGCATTCCTTTCATCCTCTACTACCCGTTTCTGTTCTTGATCTCCCCCCTGGAGCGCAATTTAACCAGTTTGACTTGGGAGTACCTGCGCAATACCAACTGGGCGCTTTGTTTTCCATTCACTACGGTGCCAAATAAATCCTGGACAGCGTCACCAACTACCTGTGCCACATCCTCTAGTACATCGGTCGTCTGGCCGCGAACACCAACGCCCCGCCCCTTGACAAGGAGCTTTTGCACTGCAAAAACCAATGCATTCTAACAGCGCTGAATCCAAAGCAGGAGATTTCTCAGGACGCTATTTTACACAAAAACGGCGTCCCAAACACTACAGTTCCACACGAACACACTTTGCATGTTGCAAGAAAAACACAGCTCCAAAGCAGAGAAGACCAACTACATATGTAAAAAACCATGTACAATCCAAACAGTCTATACATATATATATATATACACCCTCAAACTTTAGCAACTCTGTATAAATTATGTCATCTAAAATCCAAATAGCCTTTATATATATATATATATATATTTATCCAAAAACTTTACCAATTACATATATATAAAGCCAGATAAAATCCAAATGGTCTATAGTGCCTGGCATGGATACAGTGGTGAGCGGGTGCGCTTGAACGTATACAGTGCTAAGCGGGTGCACTTGAACGGGTGTTCTTACCAAGTGCCTGGCATGGATACAGTGCTGAGCGGGTGCACTTGAACGGATGTTCTCACCATGTGCCTGGCATGGATACAGTGCTGAGCGGGTGCACTTGAACGGGTGTTCTTATCATGTGCGTGGCATGGATACAGTGCTAAGCGGGTGCACTTGAACGGGTGTTCTTACCATTTGACAGGCATGGATGCAGTGCTGAGCGGGTGCACTTGAGCGTGGGTTCTTACCATTTGGCAGGCATGGATACAGTGCTGAGCGGGTGCACTTGAACGGGTGTTCTTACCATGTGCCTGGCATGGATACAGTGCTGAGCGTGCACTTCAACGGGTGTTCTTACCATGTGCCTGGCATGGATACAGTACTGCCTCGATCTGTCGCGTTTTGCAGCGCTTTTTGAGCGGGGAACAAATTTTGCATGGTATTTACGGTGACTTGTGGGCGTTTCCGGTCTGTGCGCGGCACTGCCTCGATCTGTCGCGTTTTGCAGTGTTTTTAAGCAGACAAGCAAGTTTGCATGGTATTTACAGTGAATTGGGGAACGGGTCAAGCGCGGCTCAACGGCCGGTCTGAGGGAACATTTTGGACATAACGACAAATTCATCCACTACCCCAAATATCACCCTGAGCCTCATCTACTATTTTGGCTTGCAATCCTGTGCTAGGTCATTATGGCGGGCGCCGGAAGGCAATGGAGAGGACAAGTGGACGCGGCAGCTACGAGCACTACGCATGTGGGCGGTGGACCACCAGGGGACGATGATGGAGATGGTATTGGCGATGATGCATCGGGGAGGTGAACTCCACGAGGGACTCCACGTGGACAAGAACCATCACCTCGGTATGACTACCGGATTGATCCAGCGCCAGTTTGGAATTGCGAATTGAAGACAAGAATTACAAGGAGTACCAGAGGAATTTGCGGCTCTGGCTGAGAGAAGCCGAGGCACAATTACCGAAAACCCTAATTGGGAAGCGGATCATCGACAGCATGCCGCTCGGGTCAAAGTTGGCAACGATAATCGCTCACCTCTCTGCGCACAACATTTGTGCTGATGATGGATACCTCACGATCATTAAGCACATCAAGGACAACCACGAGTGCTTGAAGGACCAGGACTTGGAGCGGGCTTTCGATGAGGCCCTGTTCAAGGGCAGGCGAGAGCGAGGACAAGTTTTGAATGTTTTTCTCACATCAAAGAAGGCAGCGTTTGCGGAGCTTGAAGAAGCAGGGACTGGACCTGCTGGAGACCAAGGCTGGCCGACATCTCCTTAGACATTTGACTTTGCGACAAGGACGCTTCACCCAAGATCAGAGACAACGCCTGAAGGTGGTGACTGATGGTGCCATCGACTACTAGGATTTTGAGAGAGCCATCCAGACAATGTTTGGAGATCGACTTGAAGATGGAAATGCAACACCCAAGTACCATGTGGGACGTCGGTGGAGGTCAAACACCTATTGGGCGATGGTGGAGACGATGATGGTGGAACGCTCTTGAAAAAAGACATGGATGACTACAGCGGCGGTCACTCGGGCATCAACGAGCCAGATCAGGATCTCGTCGGCGACGTGTTTGGCGATCTCATTGCCTTCAGGACACACAGGAGACTGAGCCTGCCTTCGTTTTCATAAAGGACTTGCCCACCATGATGGACGAGTCTGAGGCCTTGGATGGACGAGTCTGAGGCCTTGGAGCAGTTGGCTTACAACTTGGTCACTATGAACACGTGATCGAATCAAGGGCAAAGGCAAGGGCAAGAAAGGCAAGGGCAAAGGAGGCTTCCGGACTTTTCAGGCGACCAAGGGTGGCAACCATTCTACTGGACGAGGTGGCGGTTTACCTTGAGCACCGGCCCGTATGAGTCGAGGTTTTGATCAATCGTGGAAGCAGAAAGGATCACGCGTGTCGGACATGGAAGAGGTACAGCGGCAAGTTCATCATCAGTGAGTCCGCCTGGTAGAGTTTTGCCCACGGATTCTTGGCGCAGGAAGCTGCATTATCAGGCCAGACCATTTGTATTTTACTGCACAGACTATTGGACAATACATGCAAAGCGGCTCGCTGATTCGACTGGCGTTTGTTTTTCTTGGAATGCACAGTGAGGCCCCCGGAATGGCCTTGGTTGACACAGCAGCCCAACATGGCTTGGTCGGTTCTCACACTCTTGAACGACATGATCAATATCTTGAGAGGGAGTTTTGGCTACGTGTGCAGTTCACACATGAGTCGGGTGGCACTGTTCGAGGAGTTTGCGGAAGTGAGGAAACTACAAAAGTGGCCTATATTCCAATTACTCTTGGTGGAAATTCTGGAATCCTCAGAGTTCAAGTTGTTCCGGGCAACATACCCATTCTCTTACCGGCCTACTTCCTCACCGACTTGGGTGCCATCATGATGTGACTCAGAACTTGAACCGGTTACCCTCTGGACATGTGGCGATGTCGATTGTGGAGTTTGGCAATGGTTTCAGTGCACCTGCGAATTATAAGTGTGACCAGAGCCAAGTGTGGTGCTCGAGCAAAGCCACTCATGCCGGGCAACCAAATTCTCACCTGGAGCCGCTGGCGGCGCTTGCTCTGCGAGCACTGTGCTATGTGGCGGTGGAAATCACAGAGCATGCTCATGGTCACGCAACTACGCGAGGTGCGGAAGTTGACGGTGCGCCGGGTCGAGAGGTTGGAGGAGGCACTCAACCTGACGCAGCTGGAGCAGAAGATCAGGGCCGAAGCAGCAGAGGAAGGCCCTGACTGGAAGAAACGCTTTCAGGATGCCGACGAGACCAGGCGGCAACCTCTGGCATGCATCATGGGCAAGGCAAGTACTTGGTGCCCCAGCTGGAGGTGTCACTGGCTTGCAGTCATCTTCAGACGGTGCATGGTGCCAACCAGCGCTGGAGCTATCAGATCTGCAACAAGTGCAAACAGGGATCATTTGAGCTTCCAAGCCCATCAGGTCGTCCCTGGACGTCGCTCCAATGAAGTGCTCCTCGGGTGGTCCGCTTCCAGGTCTACCAGCTTCTCCGACATATCTCTAGGTGTCGACTTGCTCTTGGCGCTGACCCAGTTTCTTCTCCTTGCTCGTGCGGATGTCTGGAACCTGAAAGACCGACGCTGTGTTCCAGTAGTTGAGTTCCTTCACCAGGGCGAGGGGGATCTTCTGCTCCACGCGACCAATGCGATGGACAACTAACCTTGATGCTCAACCAGATCAGTCGCATGTACTATTGGAAATGCGACAACAGCCATTGTCGGTATCGCTGGGACAACATCGAGCAGCAGTCCAGACCAGCCCGCGGAGTCGTTCTCTGCCCTCAATGCCAGCGGCGAGCTCTTCAACAACCACGAAGACGACCAGAGCACGTGGGATCCCATGGATCCTCGGTGCGAGTGATGAAGGCGACCAAGTACAACCCAGCCAAGGCGCATCGAGGGATGACATTCCTGGGCACAGGTCTTGGTGGTTAGGCCAACGGCCTTGCAGACTACTACCTCCGACTTTGCACCAGGAAGTGAGCAAGATCATGCGCCGCAACCACACGTACCTCGTGAGCGGCAGAGGCAACAAGGTTACGGGCAAGTGCAACGTAGCGACCAGGCCCTACATCAACAAGAGAATCATCGCTGCGAGGAATTCAAACGATAGGTGGAACATTGTCGACTGCCAGAACACCGCGAGCCAGGACTATAATTTCGGCATCTCCATGGACTACCTAGCACTACCAGCACCACAGGCCCCACATGTGCCACCAGCACCTGCAGCACCTTCGAAGACGACTATTCAGGCACCTCATGGACCACCAAAATCAGCGACACCTGATCAAGAACTCCGCTGCCGACTACAAGTGTGACTGACGAGCTATCAGAACCTTCAGCACCCCCTGAAGATCGATACATCGGAGCGCTCAAACTCTCAACTGCCGAGTTTACTGGCTTCCCGGGCAGCATATGATCGCAGACTGCCTGACCAAGCGCAACGGCAACTCTACGCTGATGCGGCGAGTACTGAGAGCACAGCATTGTACGCTTTGACCAAGGAGTCACTTCTGAGTTTGCTTTCAGGAAGTCTCCCCTGAAGGACGTGGGAGTTTGTGCAGATTGGCCATGAAAGCATGTGTAAGCAGGCAAGAACCTCCGCGGACACGGGCTCAGGGCCCTTGAGTCACTAGGAAAAGCCTTACTGCGCATCTCCGTGCGTTCATCAAGTGGCTTGGGTATGGAATCCCCAATTCCACCTCAAATCAATGGGAGCGTATTTGCTAACCTCCACTGCCGAATCAATCACAAGGGAAGTGCAACCTTACTTGCCCAGTGTCCATGTGTCCCTCCCTGCTTCTGTTGGTTGTTCAGGGGCTAGGCTCAATTCCACATGTCCTTGAGAAAACGGAGTTGTTTCAAATTACCAAAAGGGGGTCTACCATTTTGAGAGGCTCCACTTAGACCTTACAAACACCTGCGCGGATTCGGGAATCGGGGCCCGAGGCGCGTCGGTCCGCTTGTCCGCCTGGCCCATGGCTGGCTGCCCCATTGCTGGCGCGCCCGCGCCTGAGGGGTTGGTTCAAAGATGTCCAAAAGCAAAGCGGCAAATCAAAGGGAAAAACAAAACACAGTGGAGTCCCCTTTTTGTAACATACCCAAATCAGTTTCAAATAGCCAGCAATGGTGGCCGAAGTTGCTTCCAAATGGGCTCGGACCAACGGATGTGTGCTGAAGCGCCCGGAGGTGAGTCGGGTTGTGCGCCTGACAGTGCCTTGGTCAAAGCCGACCGAGGTTTATGCAGTTCGCAAAAGAGAGGTCTTTGGGCAGCGTGGGCCACCTGAATGTGACCCATTGCCCGGTCGGGCGCTCAGCTGGCGCTGGCTTGCCCGTGTCCTCATGTCAGGCCCCTGTGGGCTTGTGACATGATTTGGAGCTTTCTGGGTCAATTACTGCTTGGGCCGCCATCCATTTTGCAGACTGCGCGCCTGAATCGAAGTCTTTGCCAAACTGGAGTGCCAAGAGCAGATTGTGAATCTAACAGGCTGACAGCATGCAAACTCCACATTTGTCAAAGTATCAAAAGCCCAAGCTTGGGTGAGATGCAAGTACCAGCGTTTGACGACATATTGGGAGTTTGCAAGTGCCATAGTGTCGGGGTTGGGATAAAAGAAGGGATCCAATTTGGCCTGGGCAAGGGCCCTGCTTTTGAACCCCTCTCCTGCTTTTTTGGACCAACAGGCTGAAAGGCAACAAGTGGTGTCAGAAACAAAACCGCGAAACAGCTTAACTTGGAAGATGCGCGAGTTGCGTTGCGAGGACCACTCGCTGCGCCCGGCGGTTGTGCTGCGGCTGTGCGAGCAGCTGGATGCCTTCCAGGTGGACGCGTCGGAGTCGCTGGCGCCCCCTGGTGCCAGGAGAATGGGTGAGTCCTTGGCTTGAGGGTGCCGTTTTTTGGATTAGTTTAACAGGACACCGAACGGAAAACACCCATTTTGGAGGTCCCCCTTATTTAGAGAGGCACATGTTCAGGCACATTGTACGTCTAAGCCTGTTTAAGCATGATGTTTGATTAGCTTCTTCTCGGCTGGGCGGCGTTGAAGGGGAAATGGGAAGCCTTATCCACCCGAGCCAGTCGGATTCGGTTTTCCCAGCTTGCTTCTCGCTCCCCTTCGCATGGTCTCTTCCAAGGAAGCTCAGAAAATCTATCCCACCCTGGCAAGCAACTACTCACTGCAAGCATCGAATGGAGTTGGCCTCGCCTACGAATTTGGATTCAGATTCCCGGCCTTCAGCCATTCACCATCCTTTTCCGCAACGGCATCTCTGTGGCACCTGTAGCCAATAAATAAATTATGACGTATTTTGTTAAGCGGACATCCTCACAATCCCGGTTGTCAGCCTTTAAAGAAGCATGGATCACCCAAAGTCTGTAGTGACAGGTGTTCTGCATGTGCAGCCTGCACCCGAGGTTGGTGGCCCTCACGCCGGAGCGCGCCGCGAGCTTGAGCCACCTGGCCAGCCCAGGTGGGCCACTCGCAGGGGTGTGGCCACAGCGGGGTAGATGAGGTACGCCTGTTTTGCCGATGAACTGGTAAGACTAGTGATGATATCGCAGGTGCGCAGGCTCGAAAATCAGCGTGTAAGGGGCTTACCTCGGCTGAGTCGGGCTGCGGCGCCGATATGGCTCCTAGATGCTCCTAGGCATGATCACCTGGTCTTTCAAGGGGGAGGACAGGTGCTCAGAATGATAAATCCACAGGGCAAAACCAGCACCGACTGCATTTTTCTGACAGGGTTCTGCGTTGGCCGTCCTGGCAGTCAGGCAATCCAGAGCCGACGGCCGAGGACATGTGGCGTATTGAACTGCCGACAGGATCCCCAGGAATCAGAATAATTAGCGGGTGCCTGAATCTGAGGCTCAACCTGTGCAGATGTTGGGAAAAGTTCAAATGCCATAGGCCCAAATGGTTGAGACCTGGTCAGAATAGGTATGCAGGAGTGTGGAATTGGGTCATCAGATGTCCCCATCCAGGATATTCAGGATGCAGCTGAGCCGGCCAATGCGCAGGCCTATCGCGGCACTGCTGGGCCGCTCAGGAAACCAGTTGGGAGAGACCGATGTGCCTTTGTTCTCCGGGAGGCGCATCACTGAAATTGATGCGTCGCAGTTGCTTCTCCAGCGGATATTTACACTGCGAACTTGAGGGCAGGTCAGAGGTTGCTGCTTGGTCGAAACTGCGCGGTTTGTTTCAGCCGAATTCATTTTGAGTGAAATTAGGACGTCAACTTATGCTAATGGGCGCCCTGGGCAAAACGACAGAAGGAACAGGGAGCCTCCGGCTGACTGCAATGGATGACTGTCACGGTCTGATGAGTACTCGAGGCTGAGGGTGTGCGTTTCTGAGGGTGCTGCACCCTGTTTGGCGTGGATTTTGAAGGGACACCTATAGGACAACCACCATGTTGATGGGGCCGCCCTACTTTGACACATGCCCGTGGCCTTGCCCAATGCTTGGCCGAGGTTTTGTCCTTTGGCGGCGCCAAGTCCAAGACCAGCCTTGCAGGTGTGGGGAGCAATCATGGGCTTGGGGACGAAACCGAGGCTGCCCATGATGATCCCTTGAACAATCTTCGTTTCAGGCTTTTTGGAATGTTCTTGATTGGTGTAGGATGGGTGTAATCTCGAAATGTGTTTCTACGGTGGCATCGGTGCTTCCACACGTTCTGGCCGATTGTGAGCATCCCTCAGCTGGCCGCTTGTGCTCAGTCCCAAAGCCAAAGTAAGCGTTCTCCTGGCTTCAGGGCGCTAAACCATACCAAGCGGCTAGGTAAAGCCTCCAGCCCAAAAATGTAAATGTACGTATATAAAATATATATATATATATATGTATAGACTACATACAAGCGTTTGCCAATCCAGCATCGCTTGGGTGGGCGACCGGTTGATCCCCGGCTGCTCAGGTACGAGCGAGCCGCAGGCGCCACAAGCCTTAGGCGGCCGAGGGCGAGTTGAAGCCAGTTCAGGGTGGCGCTTTGCAAAGGTGGAAGAAGGCAAAGCACAAGAGGCTGTTTGGTCAGGGTTGTCCCTTGTTGAATCAAGGTTCCTTAGTAAGAACCATGACATGAGGTATTCTGACCAAGGTGCACATGAGTATCCCAAAATCGGTGGCTCTCACTTTGGGCTTGTGAATTGTAGCACCACAGCTCGGCCTGGCGAAGCCAGGCTTTGAGACCGCGGCAATAGGAAAAGGCAGAAGTACCCTGCGCATCGCGCAAGAAGTGCAGAAGGCCGGGCACCGTGGAATTGTTGCCTGAAGCTGGTCCTCTTGACGTGCAGCCGTTGGGCCTCTCCCTAGGCAAGTTTGGAACTCGTTAAAGTAAATCATTCTCTTTCAAGCATCCTGAAGATCTCACTGCAGATCCCAAAAGACCAAACCTTGACATAAAAAGCTGGTGAAACACAGAAGGTCAGATGAAAATAGGCTTCGCTTGTGTTCGCTTGAGGAGAGCAGTGGTGATGCACCAAAGATGGTGCGCCGGCCGCTGCCCAAGAGTTTCGGTGTGCACAGGTTAAGCTTGCCTCTTGCTTTCGTTTGGGCACATGCGATTGGTTCCATGAAAAACAAAATCCACGTCCATAGAGATTGATTGCAGGGGAACCGGCCATAGTTCCATTTTGTTCAGCTCTTGCTGATCATTTGCCGCACCTTCCCTGGCCTACAGGGGGTGTGATGGGGTCATCCATTCTTTTGTGTCTGCAGGCTTGTGCTAATTCCTTCGTCCCGATTTCAGAGCTTGTGTAGGCTTGTGCCATTTCGCGACCGTTTCCTGCCTTGTAGGTAGGACATGGGCGCATGGGCGGTCAACAACGATCAGTACATGTTGGGAGGTGTTCTCCGTGATTCAAGGGGTTGGACTCAGACCCAGAAAAGTTGGACCTACACGGAGTCGACTTAAGTCGCATCGATCAAGCGTGGCGGGGAAAGCATCCCTGGAGGCAACCGGCCCAACTGTATGCGTTGGAGCGTGGCCGGTGGGCAAACACACAGCACGGCATCAGCTGCATGCGTTTTGCTTGCTGCGCGGCGCACGCTCCAGGTATGCTTGCCGTTTGATTTTACAATCTGTGCGTGCTTTTTGCTCAGCCCCGCAGTGTTTCTTTTGCTTTCCTTTTCTTGCAAACGCGGGACTTGCTTGCGTTGTGCTCCAGCGCACATTTTCATCATACATGCTCAATCTGCACACGGCGCGCCATGACGATTTGGAAATTGGCACGCGCGTGGATCAAGGTAATGGGCTTGGGGGAAGTTCCCGGGCGCTCCCAGCGCAAGAGATTGAAACTTACTTCTGGACTTCATTACTACTCTTCTGTCTCGGTCGCCTTGTCTGGACGCTGACGTGCATGCGGTGGTCAACAGGAATGCAAACACGAGGTTGTCATGCTTGCTTTGCGTTACCTACGCGCCCGGTCTTTGGACGCAACCAGCTAGTTGCGTGGCAAAGCGCTGCGTACACTGTGGAGGCGCTTGGTCAATGTGATTTGCACTCCCACACCTGGTGTTCGAACAGAAACACAGCGTGGCAAGCAGCTAGGCGCGCGGCAGGGCGTGGGGCTCACTGTGGAAGCCGCGGCCAGTGTGATTTGCATTCCCGCGCCTGGCTTTGGAAGTCAAGACTTGGTGACCAGAAAGCTGGAGTGGCCAGTGGGGAAGCGCATAAAGAGTCATAAGCTTTTCGCTGGATGTTAACTGAATAACCTGCTTTTTCCTCAGCGCGGGGCGCAAACGGCTAGCTTTGCGGCAGTGCGCGGCGTGCACCGCGGAAGCGCGTGGCCAGGGTGATTGCCATGAAAATCAGGACGCGTCATGTGACTTCACGCGCGCTGATGTGACTTCGCATGCGCGTGCGTGGCCGTGCAGTGATGCGATTTTACGCGCGTTGATGTGACCACATGTACCTGATATGACATCAACCCCTATATGTTGCAATTATCCCTTTGTTCCCCTGCTTGGGCATAGTTCGGGGACGAGGTCCATCGACTGGAGTGATGCGCGGTTTCTGGAGCGCCTGGCACTTGCCTCGGATTTCGGAGTTCCCAAGTCCTACCATGTAAAAAGAGGGCTATGGACTGCTCCAAAGATGCCCCAGGCATCGCAGAGACTCGTGCCTGAGGTCAGGCGGGGGCTGAAGGCTCGCGACGAAGGATGGAAGGCATCCTGGGAAGAGTTGGCGGCCTAACTTTGAGATGCACAGGAAGGGGGCAAGGGAACACTAGGCTTTGTGAGGTTTCCCGCCATGCGGTCGCAATGTCAACCTCAGCTAAGCCAGATTTGTATTCATTAGGGCAGGTGTGCAAACCCAAGTCTCCCGAACACACCGCAAGTCCAGTGCAAGTTGGGTGTGCTCCAGCTGCCTCCGACCACGGTGTAAGGACCTGCCTTGCACGGGAGATACCGTCAAGCTTCGCAGTGCAGAAGCCAGCCAAGGAGGTCGGGATCCTGAAATGTATAGCAATGAGTTGGGGGGGGTCCTGCCCAACACAGTCAATCTGGCTCCAACGTTGCGGCGACGTCCTTTAACCACGTCAGCTTCTACGTGGGACCTTGGTGCGGGCATGGCAGACCGTCAGCCAAATGGTTCAAACACAAAAAACATTTTGAAGGTGATTGCGTGGAGGGTAGCAGCTTGCCTTCAAAGAAGATTTCTTGCAGCACACTAGCAATGATGCGTGCACAAGGTGCCTCCAGCTGGCAGACAAACAACTTGCGTTGTACTAGGTTTGGGTGGCTACCCCCTTCCAGTCACGGCAATGGAATCATGGAAGTTTCACGAGGTCCTGGTGGAGTTTGTGGAGGCCAACCTCTGCCAGACAACCGGGAAGGCCGGGGGCTGGCGGCTCCGCAGCCTGTGCCGTGTTGCGTTTGCCAAGGACTGGGCAAAGCCGCTGCTCTACAAAGCTGAGGGCGAGGAGCTGTGGGTAGCTTCGAGGGACGGGGTGGCCTCAAGACAAGTCCAGTTGACAGCCAGTCAGGAGGATCCGGTCGTAGATGTCCCCACCTCTGACGAGGCGGGGTGCTCAAAGGCCCCAGGTTGATAGATCGGATCGGTCGGCTCCACACATGCCGTTGTATTCTAAGGAGCCAGAGGCAGCTGCGGCTTCACCCGAGGCAGGGGGTTTGCTTGTGTTTCCATCGCTCGCGTGTCTAGAGCGCCATCAGCCAGTGGTTCGACGCACGCTTGTTTTTGGGACGGATGGAAAAGGAAGGTGTGAGCCGAGACAGCGGCCGATGGCGTTCTAGTCAAGGGCGAAGGCCCAGCTCTGATTTTACCAGCCCCGCAGGTCGATCCCTCTGCAGCCTCGGGGGCCAAAGACGGTGTGGTGGCTGCAATGATCCGGGCTCCAGTCCTGTCAATTTCCAAAGCTTGCCTTTTTGAGTAAATTGTGGGCTGGCTGCAGTATTCCTTTGTTTGGCACAGCGCCTCGCCCTTTTGGAGTCCTATTAGCAAACGGAATGGGTGTTGTTTTTTTTTCCTTAGCCCTGTCTTTTGCTTAGCCCTGTCTTTTGCTTAGCCCTGTCTTTTGCTTAGCCCTGTCCGACCCGGTTGGTTGGTTGGTTGGTTGGTTGGTTGGTTGGTTGGTTGGTTGGTTGGTTGGTTGGTTGGTTGGTTGGTTGGTTGGTTGGTTGGTTGGTTGGTTGGTTGGTTCTCGCCATTTCGGCCTTCGGAACCGATTTCCGGATGGGGCATTAGTCACTCCATTGCCTGGCCCCCCGAAAGAGCAGCACACAAAGCCCACTCTGTTTTGGACTTCGGGACCGACTTCTGGAGAATAAAAGGCACGAGAAAGTAAAGCCACCCAAATTATCATCATTTGACATGCTGGGCCGCCAGTTCGCGCGGGGGTGTCTCTCTTTTGCTGCATTCACAAGTCCACTCTTAGCCATGCACTCCCGCTGGTACTGGCTGAAGCCTGGTGCCTAGACACTTTTCTGCGACAGCCAAGGGCGTCCAGTACTGAGTTTCCATCGCTGGTACTGGCTGAAGCCAGTACCAGCGGGTGCACATGGAAACTCAATACTGGACGCCCTTGGCTGTCGCGTTGTACTATTGCTGTAGCGGAACAGTGTCTAGGCACCAGGCTTCAGCCAGTACCGGCGGGAGTGCATGGCTAAGAGTGGACTTGTGAATGCAGCAAAAGAGAGACACCCCCGGGCGAACTGGCGGCCCAGCATGTCAAATGATGATAATTTGGGTGGCTTTACTTTCTCGTGCCTTTTATTCTCCAGAAGTCAGTCCCGAAGTCCAAAACAGAGTGGGCTTTGTGTGCTGCTCTTTCGGGGGGCCAGGCAATGGAGTGACTAATGCCTCATCCGGAAATCGGTTCCGAAGGCCGAAATGCCGAGAACTGTTGCACTCTTACTGTCCAGAGCGTGTCCCAACCAAGTAGCTCCGGGTAATGAAACTGAGCCCCAGAACGGAGACAGGGTTAAGCAAAAGACAGGGTCAAGCAAAAAACACACCGTACCCATTGGCAAACCTCAGGACACGTGCGTTCGAGCGGTCGTGGGAGGGCGGTACAAGGAGGGGTTGCCGGCTCAGGTGCCGCCGAGGAGATTGCCAAGGCGATTCAGGCGGATCGCGGATGTGAATGGAGCGGGGTTCCGAAGGGGGAAAAGGAGCAATTCGAGACATTTCGGATTTTCGGTTTTTATCACCCCCGCCTCGGCCAGGCTGCTCAAAGACTGGCGGCAGCGCTGCCATCGGCTGCGCCAGCTGCTGCGCCAGCCGCTGCGCCAGCCGCTGCGCCGGCACCAGCAAGCCTTGTAGAGAGGGACAAGAAGGAGAAGAAGGAGAAGAAGGACAAAGGAAGCTTGGCATGTTCAATGTCCAAAGCCAGGCTCAGGTTGGCAGGCTTCACCTGCCTCTCCATGAGCCTCCGGGGCTAAGGAAAGAAGGATAAGAAAGAGAAAAAGGCGGAGAAGAAGCAGAAGAAGGCAAAAAAGGAGGGTGAGGAGCCTAGCCAGGACTAGCTGTTGCGAAGTTTTGGTGAGGTCAGTTGTTCGTGGCGTTTTTGCATTTCAAGTTTGAGTTGCAGCTGCCTGTCATGCAGGACCCTACAGTGGTGATCGAAACTGCCGAAAACTCCTCGACAGACACCTCAGATCTTGAGATGGCCCAGCACCCAGACATGACAGGATGCTGACAGATGTTTTCATGAAAGGGCAGTGCACCGGAAACGTTAGATCAGCTTCTTCACGTCCATGCCACCTCAGCAAGCGCGACACGTGTTTCTCATCGGCTCTGAGGGACCACCGGCGCACGACCACAAGTCCTGGCCTCGGAGTTACTTTTTTTTTTTTATCCCGGCCGACCCCTCAATTCTCGGTGCTGGAGCCTGCTTTCTTGGACGCACATTGGTCCAACACGTTTTTGCCGACCCCTGGCTCTAAGATGTTGTAAGAGTTGGTGGGAAAGATAAGCCCCCTTGTCACTGCCGAGGACCCGCCTTTGCGCGGCCTTCCTGGAGGGCCGGTGCCACAAAGGACGTCGCTCGTCCCACGTCCTGAGCGCGCTGTGGAACACATGGCCGACAGGAAGTCTTTGCACCGCCGCCCACTCCCAGAAGGAGTTGAGAAGGCCAGGGGAGGCGCGCGCTATCTTGGGTTATCTCAGGCTGACACACTGATTTTGCAAGTGTACCGTGCTCAAGCGACAGGCTGCCGCAGATCACAAGGAGAAGCATGCTCACCAGAAGTCCAGCCCAGGCAGGGGGAAGTTGGACACGTTTTGCCTTCTCTTGCTCGAGTGGTTGTCGTGTTTTTGTTTACCCTGCTTTAGCTTTAGATCGCCTTGATCTGCACGCTTCTGGCGCTGCGCGCCTCTTCCTTTGTAGTCTTGGGCTGGTTGCCACACGCTGCACACGCCTCTCCAACTTGCTTGGCTGGCTGACAAATACCCTGCATTCTACCGATGGGCGAGATAGTTTGACTCGTTTCAAGGTGTGGCGCTGGAGCAATTGGATTAAGTGGCCACAGAGAGGCAGAGAGGCTCAGTTGTTGTTGGACCTGATCGTTTCTTCGTCATGCATTTGGATTCATCTCAAGGAAACTTGCTTTGACCAGCCACGTGTACTTGAAGAAGTTCCTTGCTTTTGCTGGTTGAACCGTTTGCCATATCAGCTTTCCCTCATGGCCTGTAGGTTGCCTTGCCCTTGAAATGTTTTTCTCATTTGGGTTAGGTAGAGGCCTTGGGAGCCCTTCCAGTGCCTCAGCCCGCCGTCGGGAGGCGCTGCGCCTCCGCGGGCGGAGAAGGGCCCGGGCCGGCGCGGGTCTGAGCCGAACGGGGGACCGTTCGAGTCCGTTCGAGTCAAAGGCCAAGAACAGCCAGAAAAGGCGAAGGCCAAACAAGGCCTTGAAGCCTTAACGGCAGGAGGGCATGATGGGTCAGAGGTAGCGTATACACATTATATGTATATGGTTGATTCGCTCAAACATATAGATTCCAATTTGCGTGCATACACGCACGCACGAGCACAAGACAAGCAGAAGCACACAGACAGGACAGTGTGTTGGACATGAAAATTGGGGCTGTGCGGTGTGGTTTCGGGACACATCACGAACCAGGCAAAGAGAGGCTTTGTGTTTAGTAGTGTGGTACGCCATGTGATTAGTTTTGCTGTTAGTGAATCAGGGTTGGCCAAAGTGGGGAATGGCAAGGATTGAGCCCTAGTTTGACTGATCGTTGACTTTGGGAGCGGAGCCTGTGACCAGGACAGATACTTTGGGGACCCAGGCCCTTCATGCACAATCGGATGGCATTTCGTGCATAAGCGCATCAGGCGGTGAGGGCTTTCTTCCCGCGGGCCTGGAGAATTCCGTGTTAGACGCTTTGAAGGCCCACGAGAATTCTTTGGCGGTTCACTTGGCTAACTCAAAGGAAGTTTGGTGAGTGCCATGGCAGGGGTCTGTGTCTGAACTGTGATGGGTCAACGCAGGAACTGTCATTTTGATCAAGCCTTCTTAACGATGGCACCTTTGATCCCACAAACAGCCGTGCCCACCCTGCACAGGGTGGAGTCCACCCAACGATTAGCACCTTCCGATCTTTGTTTGCCTGAAGCTCCCTCAGTTGGCACAGGCAAGAGTTGAAGCATTCCCGGCAAGAAGGGCACGATTCAGATCCCAAGGGCTTGGTGGCATTCAGCCCAGGATGCGCGCCTGGCCGGAGGCACGAGCTGAGGCGCGTTTTGCTGCAACCTTTCAATCAAAGCCCGTGAAGAGTAATAAAAACATCAAGAGGTGCGGCCGCGATTGTTTTCATGGTGGGTATGCCACTAGGTGTTGATCGCAACTCAACTGACTAACTGAGGCTTGCCGCCTTGGAGCCTCAAAGTCCAATTTGTTTCTTTCAGTGCCCTTCCAGCAACTACGCAAGAGGCGCGCGGTCTTCAATCTTGACGTGTTGCCGAGACTCCTGGTTTCAGTCAAACTCCCTGGGCCAAGGGCGGCGGGGGATGGGGGGGTGTTTCAAGTCGCCAGGGGCGGAGGGGATCCCGGCCGGTGGGGATGCACCCCATGCCCATGGACATGATGCCATGGACTCAGAGGGAGCACGGGGTTGGCGGGTTGACGGTTCGCGGAAGAACGGGAGGCGACTTGCCTCAGTGGGCAGTGGCACAGTGGCACGGGGCCTGTTCCATCACAGCACCGGTTGGGGCAGTCTTTCAGTGGTGGGGACTAATGGTTAGTTTCGTAGTTTGAGCTGAAGAGCTTAAATGCGAATGGCTGCATAAGTGCAAGCTCAGGTTCACCAAGCCCACGGGTGTTCTGCTTCCACGGGAGCCAGTTAATTCCCCTGTGCAGCGGCTTTGACACACCAGCCGATTGCTTTTCGACAAGCCAGCCGCACTTGCAGTGCCAGGCGGTGACGCTTCGATCAGTGTTTCCGGGCAAGATGAGAAAGCGCAGCAACAATTCATGTGCCTAGTGGCAATGCTTCGAAAGACAGCTTGTCCTTGTAGCATAGCCTCATGTCAGAATCCATGCTTGGGTGCAAAGCATATATTTTGTGGGATTCTCCGGCCTTTGATTGTTTGGAATAGCCCCGGGCTGCAATCCAAGCTCCTCGGCCATGATATCAAAATGCCGGTTTGCTGTTTGACTCGACCCAAAGGCTTCAGCTGAGAATTGCGGAGACTACCTGATGCGTCACAAGTCGGCAGATTCATTGTTTACGTGATACTAAGGATGCCTAACAAGCCCTGAAACGATGGTTCCCTGTAAATCCCGTCCAAGAATGTTTCCCACGGTTTCAACGTGGTGCAGGATTTAAGTGTATCCACAGTATACTCTGCCAACCGTAGCTTATTCTGAGCCGAAGCGGCAACAAGCCCGCCGGAGACACACCCAACAGGGCCGGCGGAAACGCGACACGCACATTTTCCGAGAAGAACATGTCTACCAGGAATGCAAAAAACAACGTGCAGGCTGCATGTTAATTGCCTCAAGGGGAATGTCCAAAAAAAGCACTTTGCTTCGCATGGCCGGGTGGAGTTGGACTGCCCAGCTCGATTGAGGATGGGGCACTCAGCTCCTATCATGGTCTTCCCGCCCGAAATGCTTCATATGCCCGGGGCCAAGCCTGGCCTGGGGTGGTGCAATACAGTGGAGCGCTGTGAAATGCTGCGAATCTTGCGGTGCAAGGCCGCCCCACTACCACCCGCACATGGCGATGATGATGGATCCTTACATGATGCATCGCAAGGACAAGAAGAACAAGGAGGCACTGCCCACGTGGATTTTATGGGGTCTCAAGCTCTTGGCCCACTTCAGACAACAACCGATACGCACCTTGAGGAAAAGGACAAAGACAAAGAGAAGAAGCAGAAGAAGGCTGTGGCCGTGAAGAGAACACCGACTTTCCTTCCTGCAAGTCGGATACAGCGTGTCCCTCCTGCAGCGTTTGGTCTCGCGAAGCGCAGTTTCATTCATTGTTTTGTAGGAAGGGCCATTGAACCCATGGTTTGGAGGTTGGAGTCGTTGCTGAGGCTGGTAATCAACAGCGTGTGTGTGTGTGTGTGGATGTGTGTGTGTGTGTGTTTGTGTCTCTGTGTGTCTCTGTGTGTCTCTGTGTGTCTCTGTGTGTCTCTGTGTGTCTCTGTGTGTCTCTGTGTGTCTCTGTGTGTCTCTGTGATGTCTCTGTGTGTCTCTGTGTGTCTCTGTGTGTCTCTGTGTGTCTCTGTGTGTCTCTGTGTGTCTCTGTGTGTCTCTGTGTGTCTCTGTGTGTCTCTCTGTGTGTCTCTGTGTGTCTCTGTGTGTCTCTGTGTGTCTCTGTGTGTCTCTGTGTGTCTCTGTGTGTCTCTGTGTGTCTCTGTGTGTCTCTGTGTGTCTCTGTGTGTCTCTGTGTGTCTCTGTGTGTCTCTGTGTGTCTCTGTGTGTCTCTGTGTGTCTCTGTGTGTCTCTGTGTGTCTCTGTGTGTCTCTGTGTGTCTCTGTGTGTCTCTGTGTGTCTCTGTGTGTGTCTGTGTGTGTGTCTGTGTGTGTGTCTGTGTGTCTGTGTGTGTGTCTGTGTGTGTGTCTGTGTGTGTGTCTGTGTGTGTGTCTGTGTGTGTCTGTGTGTGTGTCTGTGTGTGTGTCTGTGTGTGTGTGTGTCTGTGTGTGTGTGTCTGTGTGTGTATGTGTGTCTGTGTGTGTGTGTGTGTGTCTGTGTGTGTGTGTCTGTGTGTCTCTGTGCGTCTCTGTGCATCTCTGTGTGTCTCTGTGTGTCTCTGTGTGTCTCTGTGTGTGTCTGTGTGTGTGTGTCTGTGTGTCTGTGTGTCCGTGTGTCCGTGTGTGTGTGTGTGGGTGTGTGTCTGTGTGTGTCTGTGTGTGTGTGTGTCTGTGTGTGTGTGTGTGTGTCTGTGTCTCTGTGTGGTTGTGTGGTTCTGCTGTTGCTTGTGTTTGTGTTTGTGTTTGATGTTTGTTTGTGTGTGTGCTTTTCTGTTCGTGTTTGTGTTTTTGGACGGTTGGTTGGTGACTTGCTTGGTTGCTGACTTGCTTGGTTGGTTGGTTGGTTGGTTGCTTGGGTGGTTGGTTGCTTGGTTGCTTGGTTGTTTGGTTGCTTGGTTGCTTGGTTGCTTGGGTGATTGGGTGCGGTGCTTGGTTGCTTGGTTGCTTGGTTGCTTGGTTGGTTGTTCGGTTGTTCGGTTGTTTTTTTTGTTTTTGTGGCAGTGTGTGTGAGTGTGTGCGCGTCGGCGCGTGCGTGTGCGTGGGTGTTGGTTTGTATTTGATGTGCTACCATGCAAAATTAGAGGTGGTCAGTATGCTCATCAGCCGGGGGCTATGGGCTTGACCTTCTTATTTGAGCCGCAATCAAAACCTGGGTAGATGAAGGTTAGTAAGGGGCAGTCCCAGCCAGAAATAGTTGCGGCTGCCTTCTTATTTTTTAATTCTTTACATGGTTCTGGGTAGACCAGTTTTGATTGTGACTCATTTGCAATATGTATTGTAGTGCTAGGCAGGCATAGAGATTGAACTTCGCTTGTCTCACAGCAACCGGTCGTTTCGTACCATTCAATCCGATGTTAGGCGCAGGACAGCCCAGGGTTGGGCTGTGCATGATTTGCGGTGTCACAGTTGCAACGTTGATGCGTGTGTGAGAGGTGTTTCTGGGAAGGACCTGCGAATAATTATTCACAGCTCAGCATCATCCGGGTTCAACCTTGACAGGGGGAACCACTCTTTGCCAATCTACGGAACGACTCGAAAAGGAGACCATGCAGAGCTCAGAAAGCCCTCGTCCCCACGACCCTCGATGTGACTGCAATCAGCTCGTCAATAAATGTGTGAAGATCCAATGGGGGAGTTTTGCCATATCTTCTACATGTTTTATTATTTGCATGTAGTTGTGCGCATTGACATGTGCACACAATAATTTATAATGCATGCATATGTCCTTGAGTATGCTGGTATGGGAGGACCGTGTGTGTGTGTGTTCATATTTTGTTTGTGTGTTTTGTTTTTGGGTTGGCAGCTTTGGTGGCATTGTTTGGCTTTTGCGTGATTCCACCCTAGACTTAACACACCCTCAACCCACCCCAAAACCCACCCCAAAAACCAACCCCACACCCACCCCAAAAATCCCACACTAAACCAACCTGAAACCAACAACCTAAACATACATAAACCAATACTAAAGAACCAACTCTAAACCAACCCTAAACCCCATCCTAAACTAACCCCAGACCAACCCAAAGCCAACACCCGTTTTCAGTTGTGCTGGAGTCAACAGCCCGCTTGTGAAGCTAGTGGTGTTGAGGGCGATGCCAGTGGTGTTGAGGATGCTGGTGTTCAATGCTTGGGAAATTCCTTCATGGTTGCACCCGTGGAGACAAACAAAAGCAATCCGAAATCGAACAACAAAAACAAATTGAATCTCCACCGTGTATTAGCGTCACTATATCTGATCAATGTATCCATGCATGCTTACGTGCGTTTTTTTGGTGCAGGGTGATCTCACTTAGAGCTGCCGCCAAAGGGTTATCCCTTGTCTTTCAAAATCCTCATGGGCTTCCTCAGGGCCTGACTAGTTGAGTCACACAGGGCCTCATAGCTATATGCTGGAGTGGAATAGGGTGAAAGCCCCCGAAAAGCGAAGGCAACATCGAAAGCGAAGCAGGTATATCCCGGCTGGCCCGTGAGGATGCCTAAGTTTGCTCGGACGCAGGCAGAAAAAGAGAAGGAGGTGGCTAAGCCGAAGCAGAAAGCCTGACACCTCAGAAGAGCAGAGGGTCTCCAGAGGGGATTTCAACTTTAATGAGTGCCAGTTCTTGGTCCGGTCATACACTATACGAGCACGGGAATGCTCCTTGCAACTTATATGCTGGTTTGGTTTGAGGATGGTAGCTAGCGAGGGGGCTTGCTGGAAGTCTCATGCTTGTCTCAAAATTTCAAACACCGCAAGAGACCAGGAGAAGGAGGAGGTGAAGCTGAGAAAGGACAAAGGTGCCAAGCGCAAGGCAGGGACTTTGGAATCTTCGGGTTGCGCCGCTCCTATGAGTTTCAACGTGAGGGTGCCCAGGTCCAGAGATTGGTACCATGTTTCGACGAACCACTACCATCACTACCCATTGATTGCAGCCATGAATTCGAGCAGTGTCCCCGCTGGCCAGGACAAACCGCAGCCAGCTGACAAGGTGCCAGGGAGGGCAGGCTTTGTCAGCAGCAGGTTGTTCTTCAGCAACAGCCGGCCAGAAACAACGTGAAGTAACCTCTATCCTTACAGAAAAAGACGCGAGGATCAAATGGACCTTGCGAGCACATGCGAATGGCTTGGTTTGTCGTTCTGATTTCCTGTGGCCTCCATTTGGAAGTGGGCAAGAAAAGGGACCCACACTTGCCGACCCTCCGAACTTACAGCCACCACTCCGTTTTTGTGAGAGGATTTGTGGGACCGCCCGCTGGTGGGGTGCCCCATGATGGTCCTTGCAGCAAATCATTGGTCCTCTCCAACTGCCAGGGTGTTTGCGTTCGAGGTCTTTGCTTCCTGTGCTTGGGCTTGGGCCAACATGGGCGGCTCCCGTGGAAGCCATTTGGAGCTCGCGGTTCCGAAGTTTCCGCCACCTTTCCGCGCGACGTGCAAAGGATGGAAGTTAGGCTTGAAGATGTCTATTTGTTCTTGTTTGGCTTCTTCAGGCCAGTGAGTTGACTCAGGCCTGCCGTCGCGCTGTTAACATGTTGCTGCCTACCTGCACACCTGCCCGTTCCTATTCTTGTTGCTCTTTGTGACTCTACAGAATTGGATGTACTTACTCACGCCTAGGCGGATTTCAATGCGCTTTTTCTGCTTGCTTGCTGGCATGCTGCCACGCGTGCGACACAATTCCGCACGATGCGGAGCCAATCATCCCCCTCCAGCACCATCTGGGCAGCGTCTTTTGCCAGGGATGAAGGCCGCCTGAAGGCCCCGTCTTCGTGGCGATATCTTTCACATGTTAATCTTGTGTAGGCATTTTACTGACAGGGCCACAAGGCAGTCGCGGAATCTCTTGCTGGCTCCCCCCATTCTCCGCAAGCACTCGCCCAGCACGCCTCCTATTAACCCACCCACCCGCCTACATACTTGGGAGACATCCACCCGCAACTTTTCAGTCACAAGTGACGTGCATGAAGTACACTTTGACAGCACTAGCTCGAACATCGCCGTGGGTAGAGGCAGCTCAAGCTCGAAAAACAAACGTGCACTACTCAAAGTAAACGCAGCTCCAGCTCCAGAAGCGGCCCCCTTGGTTGGATCTTGGACGTCGTGCCTACGAACTGCCTACCGGCTTCTTTGAATGTGGGTTGGCAAACCTAGACCATCCCCGACACGCTTCACATCATTCACCCCTTCATAAAAACACATGCCATGTGACAACTCAATCTAGCAACTCGTCGACGGGCTTCAGTGATGTCAGTGGCACGCCAGCGCAACCCGGCAAGTTGCATAGGCTGGTGCGAGAAAGGAGAGAAAGGTCGACGAGGAGGACTTGTGATGGGCTCTTTCACTGACAGGTGCAAAGACGCTGCAGTCCCCCTTGCTTGATGCCCCACACGAAGCCAATCAGCCCAGCCAACTGACAGCAAGCGACAAGGGGAACGCACGTGACATCCCGGGTCGTGCCCCTGCTTTGGAACAAAAAGACGGTGTGCCGCGCCATGGCTGCCGTTCTCGAATGCTCCGTCCTGTCCGTTCCTTAACTTGTCTTCAGCCAGGACATTCCATCGTTGAGGCAGGAGCGCCACAATCAAGCCACTTTCAGCCTTTGGGAAAACTCGCTGTTTGATGGGAGGACTTCGTGGTAGCTGTCAGGCTGCAAGCATTACCTGAAAGGCTCCTGTCAGTTGGGCGGTCTTCTTGATAGCATGGGCTTACAGCTACCTCTCAAATTCTAGAATCTGTTGCTTGCATCTCTCGCAAGATGGTGGTGGGTATCGCTTATAGAAGTGTACACTGCGAGCTAAGGTATGACTAGCTAAAAGTGCGGAAGCCCCAGCGAAATAACTGTGTACGTGCTTGTGTGCCAAGCCAGTTGCTGCAACCTCTAGGGGACTTGATGATTCTGTTGAGCGCATCCGGACTTTCCCAGTTTGCTGACCCACAACAGATCATAGGGAACAGCCAAGCAACCGGAACCGAATGCCAGTGGATGGCATCAGAGCAGTCCAAAGTGACTGGCGCCATGGGGAATGTCAGCTGGCGACGTTCTAGGAGCCCGGGATTGGTCCGAATCGTCAACCGCGCCTCACGAGGCCTTCCAAGAGTTCCCCATATCCTTGCGATTCATGTGCCATGGGTGATTCTGAGGATGTGCCAAAGATAGAAGGCCATGTGTTATCCATTCCGATTGCCGTTTGCTTATTTGGTTGCTTCCAATAATCGCTTGAAAAAGTGGAGGAGCAGTCGCCTGAGCGAGGGGAGCAGCTGCGAGCTGTGCAACTTCAGGCAGGCCAAAGTTGAAGACACGTATGTTGTCATGTTTCAGTTAATTTGTTAATGTTGAAACGCATGTGGAAACATGAACTGTGTTTGAAATGCTTGACCATAATGGCTCTTGCCATTTTGGCTCAAGCTTTGCCCTGGGTTCGTTGAACCCAATTTGTGTGAAAAATTTGAGTTTGAACACTTTCGAACTAACCCCGAACCAGCAATGGCTTCCTCGGCAACCTCGGCCACATCCTTTGAGCTGATTGAGGACCAGACGCTCACCGTGGAGGAGGTTGAAATGGCCAGCCAGGAGGCCCAGGAAATTTGCACACGCGAGGCGGCAGTGGCGGCAGGCCTGGTTTTGGACGAGCCCGAGGCCCCTCCGTCGGCCTCGGCTACTGACGTGATGAAGGACCTCTCCAGTGCACTGGAGCGTCTCCGTGTGGCGTTTGCCACACCGACTTCCGGCTTGGGTGCCCCTGGCCCCGCCGAGGAGGTGGACAAGGACATGGAAGATGCGGACGTCACGGAGCGGGCCACTCCACCGGAGGAGGCACAGACACCACCCACGAAGAGGCTGAGGGGTTTCGTGGCGGCTTCCCAGAAGACCACGGCTCATGTGAACAAACCGGTCTCCTTGGTGCCGGTGGAGGGCCGACCCGGTTACTTCAAGCTGGTGGACCTCCCAGACCTCTTCCCGGTCCTTCCGGCATCGGCGGCCACGTTGTTGAGGGACGTCACGGTGGAGGAGGCGGTCTCCCTGTTCCACAAGTTTGTCGGGAAGAATCTCACGGAGGACCTGGTGATTCGTATTTTGGAGGCCTATGTCCCGATGAAGATCCAGATCCGGCAGGAGGAGGTCTGGGCCTCGCAGTTCCAGCGGAACAAGGCGTGCATTGGCACCCAGGCTCGATGCGGGCCAGTCCGATTACAAGTTCATGTGCAAGGCATGTGGCACGGGGTGGCCAGAGGCAGCCAAGCAATGCTGGGTCTGCCCAGGCAAGGAATTTGTCCCCTTCCAGGCTCCCTCGGCCACCTATGAGGCGGACGGCATCATCTACAACCTGCTCATCGTGGAGGGCAAGCCGACCTGGATCCAGCAGCGGGAAGGGGGAAGCCTGGGTGCCGCTGGCCCCGGTGGTACCCGGGCACAGGCAGACCGCAACCTGGTGGACGGCACGGTCCTGGGGCGAGCTCCTCCTAAAACGGACACGGCAGAGGAGATCACCATGGCAGACGTGGTCCCGCTCAACAGGCGGGTGGACATCCGGCAGGAGATCCTGTCCATGGAGGCGGACGACGGGGCGTTGAAGGTCCGGGAACGCCAGGAGATCAAGGTCAAAGTGCAGCGGTCCCTGAAGGAGGCGGAGGCGCAGAGCTTCCAGCTCTACCACCCCCAGGTGGATCAGGCGATCCAGGCCTTGAGGGAGCATCGGGAACCGACCCCGGAGGAGTCCTCGGCCAGGCGGAGGCACAAGGAGTTGGTCACGGAGGAGATGCTGGACAACGAGATGGCTATCCTGTCGCCGCTCCAGGAGGGCATGCAGACCCTGCCGTCCGAGGAGGTGGCCAATGAGGGAGCCCGTGCCCTCAGGAAGGTCAACCTGGAGCGATTCAAGGCCAAGCTGCGCGACCAGTACCTGGAGGGGAAGGGCGTGGACGCCAGCCAGGCACTGGCGGAGGCGATGGGCTCCATTGAGGAGGCTCAGGCGGCGAACAAGCGCACTCAGGACACCAACCAGGCATGGATGCTCAACCACACTCTCAAGCCCTTGGAAGTGTCGGCGTGGCCGGATGATCTCAGGCAGGCCCTGGAGAGGGGGCTATTCTGCCCCTTAGGAGGGCAAGCTGTCCCTGCTCCTCTGGGCGATGAAGAGGCACCAGGGAGAGCTCCGGATGTTTGGGGGGATCTGGAAGAAGCACACCAGCGGCGAAATCCCCAAGGGCGCGGACCAGCAGTTCAAGCTCACGCCGGAGGAGCTCATGGCCCTGGAGCGCAGGACTCACCCACTCACGTGCGAGCGGGACCACATCGACCCAGTCATCTACACGGCCTTGGAGATCCGAGCGCACGGGGCGAGCGCCCGGCGCCGGAACAGGTGGTGGGGATCTTCTGGGCGAAAGGTGATGGGGTGTTCTGGACCAGGCAGACGAGAACGTGGGACCTGCCGAGCTTGACGGGGGTGTACGCCCACAGGTTCACTTTCAAGCACATCTACTCGGCCTGGACCACGTTCCCGTTGATCGTGAAGACGCAACGCCGGGGCCGCAATGCGGAGGGCTCGACCTCGGACAAGTGGATGGGCAACATCCTCCAGATGAGGAAGGAGGCGGTGCCCTTCCTGGAGAGCCTGGGCATCCCCAAGCCGCGCAGCAAGGCGGAATGGAGCTACATCTTCAAGGAGATGGGGACGTTTCTGGCGGCCAAGAATTTCATCGTCAACTGCCCGTTGCCTGTGATGGAGATCCCAGTGGCCCCCGTCCACGACAGCAAGGATGCGCTTCGTTTCAGGGCGGTCTGCGACGAGCGGATCACCCTCCCGCTGTCATCGCTGAAGGCTTTTGACTCGGTCTACACCAAGTTGGTGGCGGGCCTGAGCAAGTCTTCGATGGTGGAAGTGAAAGTCAACTGGCGCTGCAACGTGGTCCACGACTGGGTAGAGCCGGTCCCACAGGAGGCGGCGGGGGCCTTGTACGACAGGTTGGGTTACTCCCAGGACCTCATCAGGCAGCTGGGTTGCTCCCCCCCCTTGGGTGCCTCTGGCCCCGGGGGAGGAGCGGCCAAGGAGGCGGACCCTAAGGCCAAGGTTCTGGGGGGGGCAGACACCAGGCTCCGCACACCAGACCAGGGCACCAGGCACCACGGCCACGGTCACGGCGGTCGGGCCGGAAGTACATCAACAAGCACTTCCCCAAGGAGACGAAGCACGTGTTCTGGGCCTCCGTGGAGTGTGGCTTGGTCTTGCCCAGCATCAGCGCCTGGGAAGTGGTGGGCAAGGAGAAGTTCAAGACCACCGGGGGCTATATGTGCAGATTTTGCAAGGGCTTCTGGAAGGCGGGGACCAGGCTTCTCCAGATCACGGGGTGGCACAAAGACAAGGCCACGTGCTTGCAGCTGGTGATGGACGAGCCCCCGGAGCAGCTCTACAACCAGTGGATCCGCGACAGGATGGAGTTCTACAAGAGGGTGGAGCCGACGGAGCCTTTCAGGGACGAGCGGCTGGTCCTGGGCGACGCGAGCACCCCCCGCATGCGCTTCAGCTCCTCGAATGGCTTGGGGGATGTCTCCACGGCCTTGTGGACGGTCATTTTGAGCAACCCGGAGAAGCCGGGGCTGGCGGCCATCCACGCGGTGGCGAAGGAGCTTGAAGGGTGAGAGCCGCTAGGTCGTGTCTCACAGCCCTTTTGGATGTGGAGTCGTGTGATCTCTTCCCGCCGGGACTTGGGTGCCTTTGGCCCCGTCTCGGGGGGGAGGAGGAGTTAGGGTGTCTCCTTTTGGGGTCATCTTTTACCATTGTTTCCCCCCTGTTCAACACGCCACGACAGCCGGATTGCCTCGATCTGGAGGCCACATGCAGCGGCTGCCCCAAGGACGGGCCATATCAGCCACGGCTCGGAAAAAGTGGCTGCGGCTGACTCTTGGTTTCTTTGAGGTCCCCTTGGGGTTTTGGGGGATCCCCCGCTTGGTTGGTCTCCCCCCCCTTCGTGCTTTTGGGGATTTCCGGGGGTGGACTTTTGGTCCTGTCGGGTTGCGTGTGGCCTGCCTGCTCCATCTGCACTTGGCATTCTGCACGTTTGGAGCATGCATGCATTGTGCCGCGGTTGAGTCCCGGCTGTTCGATAGGAGGCTCGAACCCCCCCTTTTCATCATGGCTAGGGTTTCTACCAAGTTTCTTTTGCGCCCGCCTTACACACGTCTTTGGGACCGCATTCCAAGGGTCCTATGGGACACATTGGCGGATGAGTCCTTCTCCCCGAGACAGACGGACGGGGAGCTGTTGGTCCTGATGTGCCTGCGCCATGGCACGGAGGAGGAGGGGAGGAAGCTGGGCGGGGAGCCGGTAGCCCGTTTTGCCCAGCTCCTGGAACTTTCGGGCATTCCGGTGGAGCAAGACGACCAAGTGGTTCCGACGGACTACTTCAACGGCCTGGTGGCGTCGGCGGCGGGCAGGCTTCCCCAGCCTCTGTCCGCGACGGACCTGGCCGACCTATGGGATAGCCTATGGTTCCTCCTCATGGCGACTGCGGATGGCAAGCCGAGCAAGAACTTTTCCCCGCTGGAGAATGAATGGGACCGACAGGACCAACTGAGGTGGTTCTCACGAGATGACCCACCTCCACTCCAACAACCGGAGCTTCTGAAGTGGAGGCACTGGCGGCCGGGAAAAATCAGGGAAATGGAGCCCACGACCCAGCGAGCGCTGGAACTCCATATGCGCGGAAAATGGGCGGAACGGCTCCTTGCCCACTTCGCCCCTTTTGCGGAGCACATCGCATACATGCAGGACATCCTGGGGGAGGACTTCCGCAAGGAGGCATTGGACCTCTTGGGGGACAGTAGGTTCCGGACGCTCAGGCAACATTGCCTGGTCTACGAGAGTCTCCGCAAGAGAGGCTTCACCGTGATTCCATGGCAGGAACGACATGTCCGCTCTCTCCTCAACCAGCTCACCGATGAGGAGGTCACCCCGTGCAAGTTACGGCAGGTGTGGAACACCCTCAAGTGGTTCTCCAAGACCTTCGGATTGCTGAAGATAGACGAGCTCCATCGCCTCAAGTCCAAGAAGAGCTCATTGGAAGAGGCGCTCACGGACACGGTCACCAGGCCACAGCGTAAGGCGGTGGTCCCCAGCAAAGAGGTCATATGGGCTCTGGAGGAGGGGGCCGGCTACGATCGCCTGGGTGCCCCGGTACGCAGGAGGCCCCGGCAAGGAGCAGACACGAGGTGCTGGACGCTTTCATCCTGGGTTTCGCCCGGTTCCAGGTTGGGTGCAGCGCTCCCCCGGGAGCGCCGCATG